GGGGAAGTGTTGGGGGGGGGAGTTGGAGTTCTGGACCGTGTGGATCGAGGGGGCAATAATCAGGTGGGGAGCGCGTGTTTTCCATCCACGTAACCACAATGCGTCAGGGTAGAGCCACGCCTATATCTGTACGATACAAAAAACACAGCGCCGTGGTATTTATTACACGTGGTGTGCACATACACTCCTAAACCACCACCCCATCCCTACCGCCAATACACACACAGCCACACAAACCCCTCCCTAACCCCCCTCCCGCCCACACACCCCTCCCGTGTCACCTGACTGCCTCGGGCCGGTGGTGCGTGTTCCACACCTTGGACACCACAAACAGCTCCCCGCGCGCCCCCTCCCTGGAGGATATGAACTCCGACATACCCTGACCCACAACCTGCATCATGGGGAAGACGTGGTGGTGGTGGTGGGGTTTAGGGGGGGTTGGGGGGGGGGGTGAAATCAGGAGGGGATTTATAATGGTGGTGATGATTCGGGAGGAAGGGCGCCCTCTTCTTCCTTCCCTTCCCACAAGCCTACTGCCGCTTATAAACATTTCTTAACATTCAAACATACGCACGCACACACACACAGATACACAGGACACTCTACACAGGTGCTCACACACTTAGGGCTGAGCACAGCCTTGGTGGCCGTACTCTTCTTCCCATCGGGAGGCAGCTGAACAAGTAGGAAAGGAAAGGAAAGGAAACGCAACACCAGCCGGCAGATGCCATCACGTCCCAACAAGCTCACCTCTTCGTTGCCGTAGAACCAGGCGCAATCTATGTGGCGATAACCCAGCTGCAAAGCCGTTCTGGGGATTACACACATACATACATACGTACGTTACATACATATACATAGCATTGGAGGGCGGGGAGAGAAGACGACCAGAAGAAGGTTGGACAGGTAGACAGACAGACAGGTAGACAGACAGACAGGCAGACAGACAGACAGGCACACATACAGGCACACAGACAAGGGTGGAATATAGTAATTCGCTCACTTGATGACCTCAGGGTCCTTGATCGCTGCCGTACCCAGCCCGATAAGCGGCAGCCGTACGCCGTTGCTAAGTCGTACGCTATCGGGTTGCTGCTCGGAGACTGTCGCGCTGGAGGCGGCCTGGGGGGCGGGGGGGGGAGAAACGGGATGAGGGGGAAAAGACGAACCACGAGCGAGTGAAGGTGATGGAGGGGGAGAGGCTGTGGGACTAGGGTTTCGAGATTTTCCACCGCGGACGGGTGTGAGGTGCGAGGCAGTGGCGAAGTTTTTAAGCGTGCGCGGTCGCGATCCGTGCACGCACGTTTTTTTTTGGGGGGGAGGGAGAAATGACTGAACTGTGCCATGCCCGTGTGATGGCGGCGTGCAGCTGTCTATATATGTATGCACGTATGTGCGAGTTTATTGTCGCGTTGTTCGGGATCTTCCCAGCAGCCGTGACGTTAGGAGGCCAAATGGGCTGAGGGAATCATCTAAATGGCCGGCACGACAGCGCACGGCACCAACCTGACGTGTGGCCCCCTGCATTCCCCGGGGTGCCGGGCCGTTCCATGTGCCAGTTCCCGCCTGGCGGCATTGACGGGGGAATACATACATGCAAGAAATAAAGGGTTTGGGGGGATAGGGGGATAGCGGGTGTGGGTGTTTGGCGCGGAGGCCGCAGTCAGTGAGAAGCGGACGCCTCTCCTGGAGGTTGGACATTTGGAGGAAACGGCTGAAGGGGAAGGGGTGGGATTGCGGGAAGAGACTGGGAGGACGAGGACCTGGGCAACTTACCCTGGAATGGACGTCGCTCCCTGTCTGTTCCGATGGCAACGGCTGGCGGCCATAACCGTGGCCATGGCCATGTCCAGCAGAAGTTCCTAAAAGATATTCAAGGCATACAGAATTCGGGAAGGGGAAAATTGGGATGCATGGCATTAAGGACGCTTTGCAACGTGACGCGAGGCCCACAGATGGGCTTTCAGCGCACCTGCTGCTTCACGCGCAGAGCCGTAATTTTCAGTTGAGTGAAAATTCGGATGATGCATCAGGTATGAGAAGGCCTTTCCCTTCCAGGCCACCTCGTGGCAGCCGTCGTGCGACATGGCTCGTGTGGCTGTGCTGACTCAATTCGGAGTTCCTCAGCGATAAAACGTACTTCACCCAAGGCTTGTGCACTAATAAATTCCTTAATCTTTGATGTGGATAATCGCGTGTAGCTGTCTATGCCGAGAATTGCCGTACCCGTGCAATTTGGAACAGGAACACGTTGGCAGGTTGGCCTGCCCCTAAACGTTGTGCTGATGCACTCGACCCGTTCTGGGTCCGCTGTAACAAACCGCATACTGGCCCTGGGGCAAATGTGTACGTGGAGTGCACTTTATTTACAAATACGACTGGCTGTGCAAGAGCGAGACAAACGAAATATGTCGTAACTTGGGGCAATGAACTCCATCGAGATGTGGAAAAGGATTTGCAAAAGCAAAGCATAGTAGCTTTGAAACAACAAGACGTCCCGCCGCGAAGACAATGCAAAGGCGATCCAACGTCCCAAGGCAAATCAAGCAGTTGCGTGCTGAACAGACACATAATGGCCATTAGTTCAAGGGAAAATAATGATTACCTTTGACAACCTACGAAGGCTCCTCTAGTCGCCCCAGACCATTAGTAATGCCGTACACAAGAGGTAATCACCCAACTGTTTGTACACCAAACACAGAACCATCGCTATCCTAGCTGTTCATGCTTTAGGCCAGTTCCATTTGCTACCAGCATTGCCGCAGCTGCGACGAGGTCATGGTAGGATAGACCATCGCAGGCATGCATGGTTCATTGGTCCATGCCACGGATTACAGATGCTGGTTTGGTTTCGCGGCTCTGGGAAAAGCAACGAGGCAGTGCAGCCATTGTACAAAGTGCGGCTGATCCTGTCTTCTAAGATCCCTCCTCCTCATCCAGTCACCCAAATATCCGCATAGACAGAGGGTTCAGCAATCGCCACCAATCCAGCGTGCGAATCTCGGTCTATCGGCCACAACTCCACATCAGCAGCTAGCCATAATCTCAAGCTCCCGACAATGTACATCAGTACGGCAAAGCTGCCGCCGTCGGCGCCATCTCCACCCTGAGCCCCTCCCTCTCCAAGCGTATCGGTGGTTTCTCACTTAGCTTCAGTTCATCTGTACATGGAAGTTGGTTTATTTCTGTTAAGTACGACGATTTCGCCCGACTGCCGTAGTACGGAAGTTTGCTACGCTTAGTGCACACTTTTGCACACTTCGACGTACGAAGGTATGTCTGCTGGTACAATGGATCCGTAGGGTTAGAGCGAGATAGTATGTGGCCGCCATCGCCGCAGCAGTGACTGAGGAGCAGGTGTGTCCGTGTTTGGATTTCACGCATCTGCGGTAACCTTTACCTTCGTAAAGGCGGGTGGCATCGCATTCTGCGCTTCTTGCATATGCATAGAACCCAGAAATGTGAACGGATCAGGGCTAATGTTGTACACCCCTACACTGACTATAGCGCAGCAGCCGACCTCGTGAATGAGGGTTCTACACATCATAATGACTTCTTCCACGAGGCTTAGGACTGAAGAGCTCAGTGCATCAAAGATTCCCCAGGTGCCTGTCGCCATCATCTCACTGTCCGACAGAGCCTCCCTCCTTCTCGAGGCTTTATTAGCCTTGTAGCGAGGTCAAAAAAGGTAGTGCACGACCATGTACTAATATGTTCGCTATAGATAAGATCTAGGGCATGTCGTACACCGCTATCATACACATCAACCGTTTTCCGTCGTAGCCACCGCCTGCCGTACGAAAGATGTACCACGCCCACCACCACCTTCAACGCGGACGCAGACGTGCCGCGGACGCGGGAGCCGCCACTGCCCTCCACCGCCCTCCACCGCCCCAACATGTCAGCTTCCGCCCCATTCCGTCATGATGTCAGTCCGACATACATCCCTCCATCATCCCTTAGGGCGCTCGACAGCGACGCCGTGCCAACCCCGAAACTACCGTATACACACACATACATACACACATACACACACACGAGACAGACCCCCCCGGTTCTAAACCTGCATGTTCCGTCCCCTTCCCCCTTCCCCCGCCCTCCGCCTTTGCTTCGCCTGCCCCCACCCACTCACCCCATTCTCTCTCCTTTCTTCGCTCCCGCGACCCACTCCCCTCCGAAACACACGAACACACACGACACCCTCAGACCTCAATCCCAAGTCCCCGTACGACGGTCCTCATCACGGCAATACACAAAACGTGTCCGCTCGAATTCGAACAGCTCACCACCCTCCTCCTTTCCTTCCCCCTCTCCGGCCGTCGACTGCCGTACACTCCAGCCGTACTCATGTTCACTTTGTAATTTTGTACGACTTGACCTTCTTGAGCAGCTCTTTGGCCTCCGCATTGTTCTCGAAGTGGTCTCTCACGGGCTGAAGGATCTCATTCAGATGGCGGGACAGACCGGCCTGAGGGAGCGGGGGGGGAGTGTTGGGAAAGAGGGTGATGGGGGGGAGGGGGGAAAGACGGACCACGAACGAGTGAAGCTGCTGCCAGGGCAAGAGTGTACCAGAAGTAGGACTGACCAAAAAAGGCAAATTGTATTGATCAGTTCAGAAAATCAATCATATAGCGATGATATGGGGGGGCGCGAGGGTAAATCGTATAAGGATGAAGAATAAAAAGAAGCGGGGAGGGAAATTGACGATAATGATGATAATGTAATAATGACGGTAATAATAATAATGATAAAAATAATGATGATGGTAATAATCATAAGAACGATGATGATGATGATGATGATGATGATGATGATGATGATGATGAAGATGATGCAGTAAGAAGAATAGATTCGACTGCCGACGTCCAATACCGTACGCTGTTGTAGTAGTCCAAGACGTGGAGGTACCTCCCGACAACACCCACACCAACTCTCCCCTCTCCCCTTTTTTGCGGGTCAAGACGGACTGCAACAAACACGTGTGCGTCCCATGATTATTTTCCCGCACCTCCCACCATTATTGCCGCCATTATTGCCGCCATTATTGCCACCACAGTCGAAATGGGTCCGTGCGTCTTTCTCTCTTCACTTCACCCGACACCTCTTCCCAGGCCCCGGGCTCCCCCCCTGTCCAAACCGCCATTTCATTGGCCGGCTTCTTTCCGAACACGCGTCTCCAAACCTCTCCTTCCTCCTCTTCCCCTCTTCCCCTACCGGTTCAACTCTTCTCCTTCACACCCTGACTCCTCCTTTCCCACCTCCCACCCTCCCACCCCCCCTGCCCCGGCACTCCTCCCCCCCCCAACACACACATAGCAGCTTCACTCGCTCGTGGTTCGTCTCCCCCCCCCTCCCCCCCGTCACATCACATACACACACACGAAATCCCACATTCGCGGATTACTCCATGCCCAGGGCCCCCTACTCGCTCAGTTGATTTCCTTGGCTTTGCTTACACATACCCCCCCTCCCCTCCCGTTGCCAATTTGTTGTCCCTTTAACTTCGCATGATCCCCCTCCTCCCCCTTCCCCCTCCTCCCCCTTCCCGGCCGCCACCATAAGGCCCCACCTTGAGGTCACCAGGATGAAGTCCGCCCTCCTCGTAATCCGCCACGAGCTCGTCCGCACTGCCGTACCGCCGATCCCCGCCGTGATCCGCCGGGCGCCGTACTTCAAAGTACCCGAACCACGGCAGTACAATGTACTTGACGTACTCGACACAGGGGTTCCCCGTCGTAACCTTGGGCGGGCAGTAGGCCTTCTTGATCTTGGTGTTGACCTGGAGGCCCAGGAGGAGGGAGGCGGAGTAGGAGGAGGGGGGAGGAGGGAGGCGGAGTAGGAGGAGGGGGGAGGAGGGAGGCGGAGTAGGAGGAGGGGGGAGGAGGGAGGCGGAGTAGGAGGAGGGGGGAGGAGGGAGGCGGAGTAGGAGGAGGGGGGAGGAGGGAGGCGGAGTAGGAGGAGGGGGGAGGAGGGAGGCGGAGTAGGAGGAGGGGGGAGGAGGGAGGCGGAGTAGGAGGAGGGGGGAGGAGGGAGGCGGAGTAGGAGGAGGGGGGAGGAGGGGGGAGGAGGGGGAAGGAATTGCCGTCCAAAGCAAGGAAGCGGGAGGAGAGGGACGCGGGTAACACCACCCGGACTGCCCCCCGCCCTCTCCTCCCTCGCCTCCCCCAGCTACGGGCATATCGACGCAGTCGAACCCCTACGGCTCCTTCCCCCCCATGCTTCCTATAATGCGTGGGACACGGGGGGCATATCTTCACCCTGTGGCCGCTACCCTGCGAAACCCTGCCTTGCCCGGTATTTCGGGGCACCCTCATCCAGTCACCCTAGCCAACTTCCTGCATCACTTAACACACACCCCCGGCCCCACCTCCGCCTCCGTATCCTCCATGAAGATTGCCGAGTTGGGGTCGCTCTTGCTCATCTTCTCCTGACCCTCCAGCAGACCAGGCATCATCCTGAGCAACGGAAACGGAAACAACTGAACAACTTAATAACCGCCAAACCAAGGCTCCATTCGAGCAGGAAGCAGATGGTGCGTACTGAGACTGCTTAGAGAGGCAGGGGACGAGGGAGGGGATAAGGGAGGGGAAGAGGCAGGGGGAGGGGAAGGTGCACGACCCAACAAGAGAGAGGGAGAGAGAGAGAGAGAGAGAGAGAGAGACACGATCACCCCGGCTGTGAATCGCCCCAGGTGGGGGTTTAGATTCCATAAATCAGACCCATGTTTGTTAGGCATTTAACAACACCTCATTCTCACAGCTGCCCGGTCCTCTGGCTGCGCCGTTCACCTGACACAACACGCCTTACGCTTCTTTGCATACGTAGGCACATACATACATACACACATATGCATCAACAGCCCGGATTGAGTAACTGTTACAAACACAGACTATATTCCACCAATCGCACATATTACACACACCCCCAAACACCCAACATGAAATACACGCATGCATCCACTGCATACACGTCCACCCCCCAAATCAAGGGGTCACCCTTCCCCCCACCCACCCACCCCACCCCCACCCCCACGTATATACAGACAAACATGCACACACACACACCTGTGCGACAGGATGATGGGCTTCAGCTTGCGCTTGATATCATCGCAGTACTCGCGTGCCAGCATGTTCACCTTCCTCTGGTCCATACCCAGCTGGCAGATATCCGCCTTCAAAAAGAATATGTCAGCGCACTGCATGCATGGATAGAAGATCTGGGCGGCGCTCAGGTCATCCGTCTCGTTGCGGCCCATGATCTGCGAACATCTGGAAACACCAGCAGCAGGGGGGCCCCGGTGGGTTCAGGGGGGAAAAAGTGGGGGGAAAGACAAACCACGAACGAGGGGAGAGGGGGGAAGAAGTGGGGGGGTGAGGGTAAGGCGAACCACTGGCGAGTGAAGCAGATAATACCAGAAATAGACGGAAAGAAGTCCAGGAAAAGACTAAAGCTGCATCAGGGATATTCACTGAGCAGTGAGCAGTGAGCAGGAGGGGGGAGGGGGGCAAAAGGGGGGAAAGCTAAACCACGGAAGCAAATCCCCAGAGGAGCGGGGAGGAGAGGACTGAGGGCTTTGCAACATCCGGGAGCCGAATACGTACATCGGCACAGTAGCAGCACCCATGGCCAAGAGGTATTGTCGTACTGTACATCACCCGCCCACCTGTGGCTAACACCCCCACCACCACCACACACATACACAAACCCCATTCCCTTCACTCCGGCTCTCCCCTCCCCCACCACCGCACCACTAACCCACGCACACACACACCCTCCCATCCCTTTCCCCACAACATATACATACATACATACATACATAAACTCACCTGACAATCCTCTTTAGGTTGTTCTTCCTGGCGATGTCCATCACCAGAGTCCAGTACTCGTCTGGCCGCTTGTTGATCTCCTCGCTGCTCGAAAGAAACTCCACCTAGGCGTACGTACATACATACATACATACATACACATACATACGGACGTGAACGGGCAGCAGAAGAGAAGCGCCGTTAGGGGAACACAGTTCAGGTTCAAACCCGACCACAAAGAGCTGTACTGCATGCAGGTGAGAAACCGTCCCTCAACTAGGTCAACTGCTAACTACCAACAACTGAGCCGTGGAGAGGAACCGCTGCATGGCCTGACTCTTCAGCCTCCCCCCTCTCAAAACCCTAACTCCCCATCCTTCTCCTCCTAACCCGCCTTCCTCCTGTCAACCTCCTTGCCCGGCCTCCAACACTACCCCCCATCCTCCGCCTCCCGTTTTCACATAACCATTCACTTCATCCCCCCCTCTCTCACACTCCTTTTCAAATCTCAACATCCATTCCGCCCTCTCGCTCTCTCTCCGCTCCTTTTCTTCCCCACCCCCCAGGACCTTTCCTCCCCTTCCCCGTTGTCCTCTCTAAAGTTGTCCCATCGACCCATCCCATCCGAAGCGCACCTTGGAAAGGTCCATGCCCACGGCCTTCCAGACCTCCACCATGTACTTCCCCACCGTCTGAATCTTTTTCAGGTCACCACCCATTTTGTTGTTCAGCTGCGCAAACCAATCCGCCACCCAAAACTTAAAGTGGCATCCCGCCTTGGTGAGTTTGTTGACGTTGATCGCCTTCATCACGCCCTGTGCAATGTGCATGCGGCCCGACGGCTCGAAGCCGTCGTAGGCAATTGGCAAAGGCTTCTTAGCGAGCAGCGCTCGCAGCTCGTCATCGTTGATGCATTCCTCCGCAACGCTGCGTGCCAGAGCGAAGCGCTCGTCCAGGCTGAGACCTGTCGGGTGAGGTGGCTCCACAGGGGCCTCTACGGGTGCTGCAGCTTCGCCATCCACCTTCAGCTTGTCCTGCAGCTCCTCAGATGGCGCCGCCGGTGTAGCTACTGCCTCCGCGTCCGACATTATTGCAAATTGTCGAAACCTACCTAAGGCTATAACCAGAGGTCGGGAAAAAACAGGACAGCTGATCAGACCAACCGCCTGGCCTTTTGCGTCGACGAACGGCGCCTGCTTTGCAGCGACCGCCTGGCCAAGCCGCAATAAAACACCACACGATCGGATTTTCGTAAATATACTATGACAATCGGGACGTGTCGATCTCACCCGTGCCTGCACAGCGCGGTCTGCAGAGCAGCACTGGCTGTCGACGTGCCGGCCCGAGCCCGTAATGTACCAAGTACTAAATTGCTTCTCCAGATGTCAAAAGGCTCATCAGTAGAATTACTTTGTGCCAACCGGACTAACTGTCACTGACGTTGCGCCGAAACTCGTCAGGTAGCTATAATTGCCCATTGAAATGCAATCAGTGCTACCTTTATCTGCATGTGGATAGTTACTCTAACCACCATATATTGCCATGACATAATATAACACGCGAACAGGCAAAGGACTCGATCGTTTCCTCGCGCAGTCGTCGCACAAAAAACTCTCTCCCTCTTATAAGCTGCGACTTCATCGGCTGTAACCTGAAACTCGATAGCCACCACGGCCTCCAATCAAGTTTCGGCACACTCTATTTTGTCCCACCCCGGTGCATCCTTGCGCCACAACGTCGACGGCTGATCAGTATCTTGACTGAGGCCGCACAGATGCTGTCGCTCTCGTAAAGCAGTCCTAAAAATCACGTGAGGAAAGCAAACGACCGGACCGGACGACGCGGCCAGCCCTGAACGTCGTCCATCTAGTACACCTCGCAAAAGAAGGCCGGGCGGGCCGACGGGCTTCACGACGCAGCCGCCTATTCTCCGACGGTGCAACGCAAAGAAGTGGTGCCAGCGCTCGTGTGGGCCTGACCGCACTGTTTGACTGCAGCGAGCAAGCGTGAACCCCCCAGAGCACACGCAACCCCCCTTCATGGACCTGTTCGAAACGCTGGGGCTGGGCCCCCGTCAGCCGGAGGAAAACGAGGTATACATTGCGATTTACGAGGACCCCGTAGACTCGGCCGCCACTGCCGCCATCGACGCTGCCGCCACCGCGCCTAGAGACGGTGGTAGCGGCGGCGGCGGTGGCGGCAGCGACGATGCCAACGGGGATTCTAAAGCAGCAGCACGTACGGCGCCGTACGGTGATGACTCTGCCCCGTGCAGCAGCTCGGCCGAAGGAGGTAATGCGGAGAAGGGGCGGGCTACCTGGTATGACGAGCTTTTCGTGTACGAGCTTTTCGTGTACGACGTAGTTGCGGGTTGCAAACCCCGCCGGCTGAGCTAGGGCTGGATGGCTAACGACCTGGGGCTGGGAACTAAAACCTTGGTCAGTGAACTCGAGAGAGTTGCGAGATGGGTGGTGGTGGTTTCGGTGCTAATTCGGTTCAAGTGGTGGTTGGGGCCAGAACGACGTCTCTGGTGGTGTCGTTCTGGGACGGAGGCCCTAAATGACCCACGGGTCACACTTCGGGTTGCTGAACCGAGCCTGATTCAGCTACAAGCCATGCATTCCAATTATAAGGCCATTGCGCGCAATATGCCGTATTAACACCCGGGAAGGCACCACCGGGTTCAGTCCAGAGAGCGCTGCAGGTGGTGGTGGTGGTAGTAGTAGTAGTAGTAGTAGTAGTAGTAGTAGTAGTAGTAGTAGTAGTAGTAGTAGTAGTAGTAGTAGTAGTTGTTGTTTTGAAGAAATAACGAATGAAGCCCATGCCCCCCGGGCTTTGATGGTCACGCCCGGAGCTTTCGGAACTTGTAGGTATTGGTATTGGCATTACACCGAGTCCCAGACCGCAGGCATGCAGGTGGTCATGAGAACCTGGAGATGATGGACAGCCGCAGCAAGGACAGGAAAGATGGCGAAGAGAAGGACAAGGGAGAACAGCTAGGAGGACAGGGAGAGCGGAGGCCTAAGCCCCTACTAGACTCACATCACGCATGGGTCAACTGTCTGACCCATCAACCGTAGGTGGCTCGGTAGGATTACTTCTCAACTCCTCAAAACCCAGAAGCTCTGAAAACGTCACAACACGTGAAGGGTCCAGAATGAACCCCCTCTCCCCTCCTCTCCCCCCCTCTCCCCCCCCTCTCCCCCTCCTCTCCCCCTCCTCTCCCCATGCTTGCCGCTCCTCTTCTATCCCAGCTGTCGACCGCCTAGAGCTCTTGCGGGCCCGATGTACGGCATGGCTGCTGCCGTACATTAATGGGTACGTGTGGAATAAGGACCCGCTGGTGCTCCGTGTTTCGTCGCGGCAGGCCCCGCCCTGGGAGCGGAGGAGGCGGGGACCTGCTGGGGGGCGCCGCCCTAGGGGCTCCACTGCGGCTGAGGAGGCGGCGGCGACGACGGCGACGACGGCGACGGCGGCGGCGACGGCGGCGGCAGCAGGTAACAAGGCTCCTGAACGGCTAACATTAACAGTATTTCCTGTTGGGTTGTTGCAGTGTTGTGCTTCTTTGCGTCGCCGTTACGATGGATGGACGAAGGAGTATGTGAAAGGCTCTTTCCGCCCAGGCGTGCTCACTATGTATGTATGTTGTTACAGGGTGGTTAACTTCGCCAGCGGCCCCCTTTCCCGGGGCAGTCCCTGCTCTCCCCTGCTAGAGGGGCACCCTAATCCGTCACCCCATCCGACTTCAGAATGTACTCGTTGGGTTCGGCAACTCACCACCAGCATCCAACCAAATCTAGCGGATCAACGGCGCATCAACTTAGTTCCTGGTCAGCTCGCAAGTTGATATTATCACGTCCTACACCGTCCATATGATGGGGGGCCACCTCCCATTTCATCACTCCTCAAACACCCGAGGAGCTGGCAGGCGGATTTGAACCCGGGTCGACTGGATCGACTGGGAGCAGAAGTCAGGCCTTAACTTCTGCCAGCCGCCTGCCTATGTATGTATGTATGTGTGTATGTATGTGTGTTTTGTTCCCCTCCCCTGCCCGATGATCCCTACACGTACCACCGCACCGCACTGCACCATGGAAAGCTGCCTTGCCTTCTCCACTGGTGAAGGTGGTGGTCTGGGGATGGACGGATAGGGAACAACATCAGCACTCTCACACACTCACACTCACACTCACACACTCACACTCACACACTCACACTCACACACTCACACTCACACACTCACTCACACACTCACACAGGAGGTACTGGTGGGCAGCCGTCGGGCACTTCTGGCGGCAGCGCAGCCGACGGCGGCAGGGAGGGTTGCGTGTGGGCTGTCGTACGGTTCGGTGATGCTGTGGACGACGAGTGGTGGCTGGTGTGGCTGCTGCTGCGGATGTCCCGGGACCTCCAGAACCTATCCGTACAGGTGGTGTGGGTGCGTGGCGGCTGGGGCTGCGGCTGGCGGTACAGCAGGGGTCAGGACAGCGGCGAGGAAACCCGGGGGGGAGCGGGGGAGAGAGCCCGGCCAAAACCCCCCTTCCCGCGCCCATTCACTTCCGACAACCCTTCCGTACACTCGCACATTACGCAGGTACCACATTACCTTCTTTGATCCGCATTCCATGCCAGCATCATTTCGCCCGTCCCTTCACCCTTCACCCCACACCACTACATCAGCGCCATTTTCGCCAGTCCTCAACACCCTCCTCTCGCACGCATCGTACACACACATACATACACACACACGCACCCCTCTGTGTGTGCACACATCCCCGCAACCGCAGGTGTGGGATAACGACGGGCAGTTCCTCCTGATCGAGGCTGCCTACGCCCTGCCGCGCTGGCTCAAGCCCGAGATCTCAGACAACCGCGTGTGGCTACGCCGCGGCCAGATGCACATCATTCCGCTTCCCAGCACTGCAGCCCCAGACCTGCCGGCCAGTCCAACCGTGGCTCAGGCGCTGGCGGTGCTGCGAGAGGCCAGGTAATGCCCCGCCGTGTCTGTTTGGCGTTTCCTTATTAGCTTGTTTTATAAATATATACAAGTTTACGGGGTTTGGAGCCCATTTCATAGCAGGCCGTCAATGCACCGCTGGTCAGAGGAGAAGTTTTGATAGAAGCAGCTGTCCGCACCACCCTACTATGACCTCGTCTGAAGAAACTGTTAACTGTGTGGTAATGTTGTAAGACGTGCCCGAAAAGCGACGGTATAGCAATGATTGACGGCCGGCTCCGGGATTTGTTGAGACAGTTTGAGTTTTTTGTCGTCTCAGAAAAGTCGTCGCTATCCTTGCGTGCGGGGGCGGCACATCTTGGGGCACACGCGCGGCTTGACCTTCACTTCTCATGACCTACACTTTTTCATTGTTCATCTCACAACCCATATCTGCTGACCTTGCTGGGGCCTCCTCTCTTTCAGGGGCTGTTATGGGCTGTAATGCTGGCTTCTTCGTTCGCCTATTGGCCCCGTTGGCCTATCCTGGTTCTCTTGGGTGATCGCTTGCTCCCTTGGGTGACCGCGCCCCGTCTCAGGTTCGCCACCGCGAGTCTGCGAGTACAGCGGCCCATCGACCAGCGGCTGGAGGGCTACCCAGCTCGGGCGCGCCGCGAGCAGCAGCAGGTGGCCCGCTGCTTGCTGCCGGGGCCAGTGGCGGCGGCGCTGCAAGCCGAGCCGCAGTTGGTTTCGCAGCTCGTCGAGGCGTTCTACCTTAGGTGCGGCTGTGTGGACACGTTTTTTTGTGCTGCTATCACTCCGATCCCGCGCCTATTGCCTGCTAAAGACGAGGAATGTTGGGTATTATTTTTATTGCAAGAGCAGCATTTCCCTCGGTTTCTCATGCGACAAGGGCTAATGTGCCTGGGAAGGAAGACGCTTTTGCTGCGGCCTTGGCAATCTGTGCTGCTTCTTGCTTTTATTTCCATGCACTTCCTCATGTGGAGTTCTCCACGTCCAGCTCTCAGATGCGATAGTTGTTTTGACATGCTGCCAGATCGAGAAATGGCACGCTTCCCTCCCAGCTCGTCACCACCTCTGCTCTGCCCTGACCTCGCCGCGGTTCGGCCTTCAGGGATGCGGACGACATGCGTGCCGCCGCACGCATGCGCTTCCTGCCGGCGGCCCTGGAGCGCTCCCCGGTTCTGGTGCGCATGACTCGCTGCCACTACGCCCAGTTGGCGGCACAGCGCTTCTCCGCGCCGCGCGGCCTAGCCATGCCGCCGCCGGACAGCCCGCTGGCCAAGGCGGCCGATCTGGGGCTGAAGCTGACGGTGGCAGCGGAGATTCTCTGCGCAAGGCACGCCCCCGCAGTGCTTCAGCAGCAGAAGCAAAAGCAGGGGAATGGGGAGGCGGAGGCTGCGGGCACCGGGGCCCAGAGTGAGGCGCACTTCGCGGGGAACCCCTGCTGGGGGCGGTTCAAGGCCTCTTTAGAAAGCAACGGCTACTTCCAGGGCCACATCCCCGGCTCAAGAAGGTGGGAGCTGGTTTCAGAGAGAGTCCTGGTCGGGGCTTTCTGCCCCGGGGCCTCATGTCCGGCGGTCACAACACATGTAGCGCCGGCGGCCCCAGGTGCTGGTTACTAGGGAGCTGCGCAAGCCTGTTTGTTTTGCCATGGTAGGCATACAGGCATACACTAGTCCGCTCGCTTCAGGTTTAGGGCTTTAGGGGCGTAGGGCGTACGACGACAGAGAGAGGGAAACGTGCCCAGAGGAAACGTAATCCCGTGTCCTTCCTTGCCAGATACAAGGAGTTGCTGGCGGCGGCTCTGGAGATATATGCAGCCGGGCTCACCGCTGAGGGTGACGACGGCAGTAGCAGCGGCAGCAGCATGCCTCAGAGCTGTGGCGGCGGGGTGGCGCTACTCCGGGACCCCGGTGGACGGCTTGCAGAGGCGGTATTGGGGAAGGTGGCCGATAGCGGCAGGGTTGAGAAGGCAACAGGTGGGTGGGTGACGTGGGTGGTGATCCTCGCAGGTTCACATGCTTTTAGATTTTAGAGGTAGTAATAGTCGAAACGCCTTGAAGACCTTGTCTTTGCCGCCATCGGCATCAATTACCAGGGAACGCCCCAGCCCAGCCCATTGGGGCATCAGATGGTATCCGGCGCTCTCAAAACATATATCGGCGAATGTCCTTGGAATGTCCGTGCGCTATTTAGAGAAAACCGCTACGACGCAGCATAGGGGATGCATAGGAGATGTCAGTCACAAATTTGCAGCCATGCGATTGCAACGAGTATGCTCGTGCTGCGCACTGTTCCGGCCGCGTAAATGTCACGTAAATGTTGCATGGACCCCAACCATGGACTACATCCGTTAACACAAAGGCTCGTCGTTCGTTCAACACACATGCAAATGCTCAGCAAATAGCCCTAGCGGAATTAGCTAATAGCATCGCCGTTGCTTTTAACCCAATGCAAAAAAACAGCACGACAGACACCTGCACCACGCCTCCTTGCCGCGACGCTGAATGATACGCTACCCGTCCATGAATTGTACAAAGAAAATCTGTAACATGCATCATAAGCGGCGACCACTTTATTCCTCCCGGCCTTTACTTCTTGCCACCGCCGACTCCAAACTTGCCCTTCTTGACCGGTCCTTTGGCCGCCGGCGCTGCGCCAGGCCCGCCTTTCCGCTTCTTGTCCTCCTTAGCGGGCGGCTCTGCAGAACAAGGCGAGGCAAAGTGTGTAGAAGCATCCTTTCTTTATACAGACCACCGTTCCTCCCTTATCGCATCAATGTCAACCTTTTGACAACAGCAGCACCCGAACGGGGTTGTTGAGTCGTACCTTTGGTTTTAGCGGCACTGTCCGTGTTGGACTTCGGCAGTGCCGTGAAGAACGTATCCATACGGCCCTGGTTAGCCTTGCCCTTGTGCTGCTTGATGCGCGAGACGGCTGCCCGAACACGCTGCTCGCTAAAATTCTTTTCGTTCACCAGGAACTGCGGACAAAGAACGCCGAGGGCAAAGGCAAGGCCTTCAACAAACCGCTGTCATTCACCTAATACCGTTCCGTGTACAACCCATCTTGGCGATCAGTACAATCCCACACCATTCACAGATCCGGGACTGGTTAATGGTTTACCTGCACTAGCCCCTCCTCGTCGGGGCTGCTCCATTTAAGCTGCGGCAGTTCGGCAGCCGGCGTGACCTGCATCCCAGTGCGATGGCAGCACATGCAAGCATGAATATTTGCCATTGCTTGCTGTGGGAAGGCACTTCATCACATAAAGTACTTCGGAGGCTGCATGCCCCAGTCTCTGCACACAAATGTTCCCGGTCCATAATCCGCACCTCTGGGTTTTTGAAGAATTCGTGGCTCTCCTTGTATGGGAAAGGCTCCGGCACTGGGAACTTGGCCTTGTCCAGCTCCTCCAGAATGGCCTCGATGCTGCCGTGCTTCTGTGGGGCAAAATACAGTCACAATACAGCTGAACGATTTTGCGATACGCGCTTTTTGCTAGCGGCAGGTTGTCGTTGAATGAAATTAATTGCCCGGACGCTTGACGTTTCGAGGTGGGTCTTGAATTGCATATACCTAGAGGCTATGTTGCGAGCAGCATGAGTGCATGGCCATCTTACTTGCCTTCAGACCCCCCTGTTACAGAGCTTTTATGAGAAACTCTTCCCAGCGCAAGAGTAGAAAACTCCGATTGTGATGCATTACTCGTTGTGGGGCTCTTAGCTGCGGATACTGCAACAGGCTGCCGGGTTATTGGCGCCCTTGTTGCGCTGCCCGACCTGTGCTGCTCGACCTGCGCACCTTGATGAGCTGCAGCGCGCGCACGGCCCCGATGCCACGGATGGTGCCACAGTAATCGCACCCCATAAGAATGCACATGTCGATGAACTGGTCATCGTCCAGGCCGAGCTCCTGGAGCGCCACGGCGCGGTCGATTTCCTGCACTGGGACCTGCGTGGAGCCGGCGGTTACGCCGGAGGTTAGTAAGTGTAGCACCCGCGAGGAGGAAGCCACGTAGAGCATAGCAGACAATTGATGCAAAACGGCAAAGGGCCACAGCGCAAAGGGCCACAGCGCGGTTTCTGACGTAGGCGTCGTCCTCGTTTCCGTCCTCGTTTCATAGCAGGCTGTGTGATGGAAATGAAGATGTGCAGGGCGTGGGGGGCGTAGCAAGTGGAAATGTTTCTGCACCCGCAGTTAGCTTTGAACCCAGGAGGCGGCCAGAGCAGCTCTAGTGCATGGCTCTGGCTCACGGCCAGAGCCATGCAGAGCTGCAAGGCCGCCGATCTGTTCTGTAAGCGGTGCACCGCCAGGCACAAAGCTTCCCAGGCATGCATGGCGAGAAGCGGCACGCCCATGGATCCTGCACGCACATTGGAGCTACTGGGGGCCATAAGGTGGCGGATGACACGTGGCGCGCCGAACGTGAGCGCGTCCATATCCTCCGTTGCTAGCCCGTACACTAGGCCAGCTTTGGCCATCTCCGCACACTGCGCCTCTGCCTCAGAAGGTGCTTCCACAACGGGCACGCCCATGAGACGCAGCAATCGCTTGCAATCCTCATTGTGCTCCTGCGTTCGGGGTTGAGGGGGTTGGGTTTGTTTCATCGTTCTGTTATCTTACTCGGGACCAAATGGGTGCATAGCTGCCACCCTACCGCATAGCCACGTTGCCTGCTGTGGGTTTGCCCACATGCGCACCTTGGTGACACGGACCGAACGCTTGCTGTACTTCTCAACAGCCTCCGCGTCCCCCGCCTCCTTAGCCTTCTCTAAGGCCTCGTTGGCGTCGGCCCTGCGGCCACGTTCACGGCCGTTCACGGTGCTCAGCAATCATTTTGGAATGGGCTGGGGGTGAACATTGATGAGGGTTCTCGACTGTTGCGAGAAGCCAACCTGCGTTCCGAACGCATAGCGAGCTGGTCCTGCTTGAGTTGTGGGGGCTTGCCGTCGAAGACGTACACAGGCTTGATGCCAGCTTCGAGCATTCTTGCTGTTCGGAAAAACATTCCTTGTAGATGGCTTGTGATGTCGCCAGCCTCGTTCGTCAGCAGCTGGTCACCCTGCCGGCCGACGACTACCATGAACTGATAGATATGCATACTAGCATCGACAGCAACCTTGCGTCCAAAAAGATTTTCAAATTTTGTTTCCTTGATGCATCCCGGAGCATTATCGCCGAGCAGTTTGGTCAGTCCGTGAATTCCCATGGTGGCGGGTTCGCTTGGCGGTCACGACGCAGCTCTTCCTATTCAAGTCGCCTGAACCGTTCAGCTATAAAGACTAACACTACGGGTTTATTAAATAAAAAATGTTTCGGTGCATTTATATCTGTACGGCAGCGTGGGGTAACTGTATGCTTATACTCATGTACACTCGCTCAGGTTCTATTGCTTTACACATATCGACTTTGTCCCTGGCTTCGTATGTGCTGGACACGCAAAACCACAAGGGCTGAGCTGTCATGCCCTTCTTTTCCCCTGTGCTCCTTCATCAGGGAGCCAAGCCTGTCACGTAGCCGAAGACGACGACAGCTGGCTTGACCAGCAACCTGATCGCCTCCAAGCTGAGCTGGATTGCCGGCAGGCGGAGCTGCACAAACATGCCGATCGCCACAGCGGTGGAAACGACCCACCAAGCGATGCACCCGCCCCACAGGGCGGCTCACGAAGCCGATCCGACCGGCGGCATGTTCGGGTAGGAAGGCATGCATGCCCTCGGGTGCTTTGGCTGAGCCCGTCGCCCTTTTGGGCACTGCCTAGAGGATTCGGCTCTGGCTGCGTCCGGCCGTTCCTTAGCATACGGCAAAGTACTTTTCCATAACGCGACACGGCATTTGTCTTCAACAATTGTTGTCTCCTGTTATTATTTGTTAATTGTCTCCTAGCTTACTGCGGTGCTAGCCGCTGCTTGATCTGCCTGCCTGCCATTTCTGGCTCACGCGACGAGGTACCACCTACTCCGCAGCAACCCGTACGGACCCGTAACCACCGGGCTCCCCCTGCAGGAGGTCGACGCTGACGACATTGCCGCCAAGCTGCGCGGCTTTATGGAACAGCTGTCTGGCTTGGAAGGCGTGGAGACCCCGACCGACAAAGCGGGGTCATCTACTAAGGTAGGGCCCGGCAGTGTCAGCAGCGGCGTGGACTTCAACCCGGCCAGGTTTCTCTTGGAGCTGGAGAAGGTTTTGGGGACGGGCGGACCCACGGGTCGGCAGGCTAAGCACCCGCAGGGAGGGGAAATGGACAACGGAACGGAAGGGGAAGAGGAGGGTGAGACATCGACGGAGGAGGGTTCGTCTTTCTTCTCCTCGGATGATGATGACCTGGACGATAGCGACGACGACGGTGAAGATGACGATGAGGATGAGGAGCGGGAGAAAGCGGAAAAGGGTCAAGTAGGTTTGGGCTCCACAGGCTTGGGGCCCGAGGACCTACATGCCACCTGGTCGCGTCGGCCTGGGGGGTCTGAAGAATCTCCCAGTTCGAGACCGGCGCAACGGTCTCAATTACACGAATCTCATCGTCCCGCCTCTCAGGCGCCAGCTGCAGCCGCAGGGCCCGGCCTTGTCAGTAGCCTGCAGCAAAGTCAGGGTACAGTATCGGCCAACAGCCCGGGGGTAAGCAGCCAGCATACGGCTGGGGGTAGGCAGCCGCAGCCGGCCTTGAAGCGGGGCTTCCTGTCACGACAGGGAGCTCCCACCGCCGGTATCGCCCACGCAAGAACAGGGCGGGACGGAGCAATGACGCGGAAGGCCGATGTTGGCCCGGTTGGTTCCGTCGGAGCTGGCATGGGCCCTGCCCGGTGGCCGGTGGCCGGGCCGGGGAGGAAAAGCGCCCCCGCCTCAGCTGCGACCGGGGTTGTCGCCTCAGCCGCTGGTGGCAGCAGCGGTGGCGGCTCGCGGCGGCAGCTCGACTGGGAGATCCAGACAGCGACGGACAGTGATGACGAAGAGGAGGACCGTGATGGCGACGGGTGGAGCGATGTCACCGGCTCCGATAGCGCTGCTGGGGATCATCGTGGGGGGCAGCAGTGGGATTACGGTCACGGTCAAGGGGACGGGGATGGGGATGGGGACGGGGATGGGGATGGGGACGGGGATGGGGATGATCACATCGCTACAACGAGGTTGCTGGGTGCCTTGGGCATCGGGACGATGACCAACAGCAGCATCGAGGGCGACAGCAGTGATGGCGAGCGGCATTGGTCTTCTGTAACCACGCGTCGCGGTGGCGTGGATACAGCGGAAAAGCCGCTTCGAGGCACTGCACGGCAGCGACATCGTTGCGACATCGTTGGTGTGGCAGCCTCGGCAAGGACGGGGAGGGTTTCATTGCCAGGGGCTGGCAACCGCGGTGGCGGCGCCACTGGGAATGCCTGTCGTGGCGGCGGCGACGGCGACGGGGACGATGACGCTTTCATGCCGCTGTACGACAGCGCCATGCAAGCGGAGTTGGCGGGCACAACGCTTGCACAGAGCTTTGACGTCGGGCCAGGCATCCCTGTTGGTGGCATTCGGAAGTCAAGTGTTGCTAGTGCGCGCGTCTCCGGAACGGCAGGGGCTCCTGTTGCGCAGGATCTGCAACCGGTTGACCTTGACATGAACTTGGTGCGGAACTTGCTTCGCTCGTATACCGCGCAGCAGGGGAGCGCAGGGCCTGCAGGCAACATTGCTGCGATGCTAGGGATGCCACTTGTTGAGGGGGATGTGGAGAACTGAAGACGAGTTGCGGTACCGGGACAAGGGGCCCGCTGCTCGGGGATGTTGTGGGCGTCTTTGCTTGGTCGCTATTGTGGTACTGTCCCGCCTTGTTTCTGTCTACGAAAAGGCTGTACCTATTGCTTTCTGTGTGGAGTTGCCTTTCGGCAAGAGTTGGGACTGCGCATGTAGTATATCGGACTAGAGATATGATGCGTTGGACTGGATCCTTTCCGGTCTTGCAAATGCTTGCTTAGTTGGCTTATAAGTGTTTATAGCGAATAAGATTCGATTTATACATATACTATTGTTAGGAAGATTCGTGTTCGCCTCGCACTGCCTGTCGATCGGCAAGCGATGCCATAGCGAGGAACCAGACACACGGAAATTGGTCTTGTGCAGACGCAGGAGGCTGTGTTAGTACATTGGCACATAGGGCGACAACGCGTTGCATCGGCAAATCGTATTAACGTTCGCCAGCGCGCACAGCCCAAGTCCAGCGCGCTAACCGGCGGCAAGAGGAGTGCTAGTGCTGAAGGAGTTGGCTTCTGTAAATCTTATTTGGCTTTTTCTTCGTCTTGTTTTCATCGTCACTGTTGCGAGGGGGCTCTTCGGAGTAAGTCGCGTAGCTTCGCAGGTGCCTCGGAGCGCTAATCCCTATCGTTAAGCTTATGAGGGTATTTCCACCTTACATACACGGCATTTTGCAGGGTCAGGGGCGTGCGGTGCATCGGGAAGGGTTTTGTGCGCTTGCTGTCCTGCTGCTCGCCCAGACGACGGAGCGACGCTTGCAGGAGTTTTGGATACGTGTAAAGGACAGCACAGATGGGTGCGCAACAATCGTCTGCTGCTGGTGAGGGGATACAACACTAAGGGTTCCGCCATGACCTTTGCTTCGTTCCCTTAGCAAGCCTATCCTGGTAACCATTGTAAAATTTTCTATATCAGCAGGCCCTGCCCAAGACGCTGTTAAGCCGGGCGATGCTCCGGGTGCTCAAGGCGGTGATTTGCAAGCAGTGAAGGCACATGCCATTGATTGCTGCTCTGTGGCAAGCTCGTACCAGAGTATATCTGAACTTGAAGATTTCCTAAAACCAGGTGCGGACACTGGGAGACGGCTTTGGGCGGTTCTGCTTCTCGGGGAGGCGCCATCCCAAAGCTTGGAAGCGTGTTGGCGACCTTATTCGTCGGGCGATGTCTATCCGATGGATTTGCTCGCAATTGCCTTCCTGTTAATGCCTTTACGCGAGCTATTATCGTAACTGCCGGCTTCAGGCGAACTGGCGCTCACACGCTGGAGCCGGCCAACCATTGCACCATCTGAAATCCTTAACAATCCCATATATGAGGGTGATGAGCTGAATCCAGTCGAAGAGGAACGCGAGCCGCGGCTGGCGCCGTCGGGAAGCGACGTCGCTATACCTCCTGCGGACCGGCCCGCCACGGACAGCCCAGTGCCAGAACAGGCTGCGGTACGTATGGCACATCGGTACGGAGAATGAACTCGCTGCTCTGTGTATGTATTCGTTCTCGACGAAACACGGCATTCGGCTTGTATATCGGCACTACTCTAGAATGTGATGTCTTTATTCGCACTCGTATCCCTGACGATTCACACCTCTGTTTCAATGTCGACACCCGTCCAGGGCGAATCCTCCGGCGAGGAAGCTGCGGCCCAATTTGAGGATAACGGCGCGGACGGCGCCAGGAGCCAGACCCCAGCCGCGGTTGTCCCTCCCGCTCCCGCCACCGCCGCCGCCGCAGCGGCAGATGAGCCCCCAACAACCCCAATCGTAGGCGTGCCAGTGGTCGATGATGGGTTCAGCGCTTCCATTGCCGACGCGTCCGTGCCCCCGGCCGATGCGGGGGCTACTTTACTCGCACTTCGCCGAGCTTCTGCTGAAAAGATTGTCTCCGCTGCCGCTGAGCCTTCCATTGCGAAAGCAGAGCCACAAGCGATGGCGGCGTCCGCAGCATGCTTAACGTCAGCTGAGGCCACCGGGCCTCAGAGCTCAGCACTGAACGACCAGAGCTCCCTTGCCGCCACTGCCGTCGCCGCGGATACCGAGTCCCTGGCGGCTGCCTCAGCGCCATTGTCCGGGTCTAAGATCGCTGCCGCTGGGCCAGCGGCATGCAGCGCATGCGAAACCGCCACTGCAGGTGCAGGTGTGTGTATTTACATTGGCGGCGTCTAGCATCCGCCATGTAATGCGCGCGGTCGGTTTGTCACAGGCAAAAAAAGGTTGCATGAGGCCACACGCCAACGCTGAGCTCCGTGGACCTGCACGTGAAGCTACCGGCTACCATGTCCGCGTCTTTTTCATTCTCACGACATGCCCTTTCTGCACCTTACTGTAGCATTTTGTAATGGCGACTTACGTCCGGCCGCCTACACCCTATACCACCCTTTTAACACGGCTCACATGGCTTCCTTGAATGAACGAGTAGTATAGGGGAAAAGAGGCGGTTGGACGGAGGTCGCTGCTCCTCACCGCCGCAGCAATGTGTGTATGTATGTGTGTGTGTGTGTTATGGGAGCTGTGTGCTATGTGAGCTGCGACAAAAGGACTGAGCCCCTTGTCCTTCTGTCAACTTGCCAGCAGGTGTCCTCGCCGTGCCGCCCCTCCCAGCGCCAACTGCTATTCCAGGAGAGCCTGCGGAGGCGGCCGCAGTACCGCCAGCAAGCCGTCGTGGCTCACCCGTCATCGGCACGGCTCCGGAACCAGCCCAGACAGCTTTCGTCAACGATGATAACGATGTAGCAGCCCCGGCGGCCGCAGAAGCGGAGGCGACGGCTACAGCCCCGGATACGGTGATTGCCACCGAACAAGCCGCCAACACTATCGAGGCACCTGTTACCCATCGTGCTCCTGTAGACAGCGTCAGCGGCGCTACGGCCGCGGCGGTAGCTGGTGCTGCGGAGGGGAAAGTCGTTACAGCTGCTGACAGCGTAGGAGGTCCCGACGGAGAAGGAGCGCGGACCGTTGCGGTGGCGACGGATGCATCTTCAGGTGGTCCCGATGTGGACCCTGCTGCACCTGCGGAGGAGTCAGCAGACCACGTTTCCGCCGTCAGGCCGCAGCTGCCGTTGGAGCTTCCCTCCAGCCCTTCAGATGACTCCGCAACAGCTCCAATGGATGTTGCCACTGCAGTGATATCGCCGCCGAAGAATGAAGTGACATCGCCGGCTGCGGTCCAGTATGAGGATACCCCGCCAGGGTTGACGGCAGACGCGGAGGCGACGGTGACGGAGCCGGCAGTAGCAGTGAAGCCGGCAGTAGCGGAGGCGGGGGTGGCGGAGCAGGCAGTAGCGGAGGCAGAGGTGACGGAAGCAGACGTGGCGGAGCAGGCAGCTATGGCAGCGGAGGCGGTGGAGCCGCCTGCCTCTGGGGAGCCGATGGAGCCGGCAGTGCAACTTCCGGCGGTGGCGGCACCAATAATAGCAGAGGCGACGATGGTTGAGTCGGTGGTACTGGAGCCGGCAGTAGCGGAGCCGGCAGTGGCGGAGCCGGCAGTAGCGGAGCCGGCAGTGGCGGAGCCGGCAGTAGCGGAGCCGGTAGTGGCGGAGCCGGCAGTAGCGGAGCCGGCAGTGGCGGAGCCGGAAGTAGCGGAGCCGGCAGTGGCGGAGCCGGAAGTAGCGGAGCCGGCAGCGGCAGAACTAACAGTTGCGCAAACCACCGTAAGGGAGACGGCAGTGGCGGAGACGGCGGTAACGGAGCCCGCTGTACTGGAGCCGTCAATGACGGGCTCAACGTTGGCGGAGACGACTGCCAAAGGCGCAGCCGTTGCCGCAAGCACGGAAAAGGTGGAGGCTGTCCCGTCTGTGAAGGCCACAGCGGAGGAGATGGCAGCCGCCGCCAAACAGGTGGTCCCCAGCCCGCCGCTGGACGCTGCGCCGGCTGGGGTGGAGGGAGTGGCGCCGGCGGTGGAGGGAATGGCAAGCAAAGACCCCGCCGCGGATGCTGCAACAGGGCCAGTTGGTGGTGTACATAGCGGCGACGAGGAGAGCGCTGCGACCTTCATACCAGCAACGCCGGTGCCGCCAGCACCGTCAGCGCCCGCCGCCGACCGGCTCAAGTCACATCGCGTCCTGGACACCGACCTGTACCTGTCCGATGAGGACGATTCCGCTTCGTCGCCGTCAAAGACCCAACAGCGCGCAAGCCGGGCTGGAACGCCGGACACGGTCGTCTATTCGCACGGCAGAGATTACCAGGCCGACATTACAGGCGCCAGACCTGTGCACACCAAGTCTGGACAGAGTCTGATGGGGGATATCGCCGATGCGGCAGCGAGGGCGACGGAGGCGCATAGCACCATGAAGGGGGAGGCGAAAGAGAACGGCGGCGGGGTCGCTTCGAGCCCGGATGGCACCACCGCGGCAAGCACTGAGGCACCTGGTTCCTCCTCACCCGCAGACACCTTGGGCCTAGCGGCTGGTGCCCAGATCGCCACCCCGTTTGCCAACGGCAAGGAAGCCGCCGCCGCCGCCTCTGCGGCCAAGGCGGCGGAGGAGGAGGCTGCGGCGAGAGCGGCCGCCAGGGCTTTGGCCAAGTCGCGAGCAAAGGCAGAGAAATCCAAGCAGGGAGGCATCTTCAGTTGCTTTGGCTGCTTCAGTCCCGCGCAATAGTAGCGGAGGAACTGACGACTGCTCCTAGATCAGCATATCAAGCAATACCGCGCGCAGATACAGCCACCACTGCGAGAGGGCGATGCAGGCGATGCAGCAACACAGCGCGGATGTGGATGGATGGAAGTGGCAGCACCCGCATGCACCCGCATGCACCCGCCGTCTCAATAAGTGCGCCTAAGTCCTCCTATATCTATATCCCTGTTCCGCCTGTGCGTGTATGTATGTTGCTTGAGCGGTTGTGGCATCTGGTGCAGCAGGCGCTGCGGTCCGCGCGCCTCATCGCCCACACCAGCTGCTGCAGATGAAGTAGCTCTGCACCATTTGGTGCAGCTGCTGCGGCACCATCTGGTGTAGCCCCGTGCTCCGCAGCGGGTGGCGGACTACACAGGTGGCAGAGTAGTAGCAGCAGACTACTACGGACAGCGCGACAGCGGGCCACCACACAGGCCGCAGGCGCCACAGAGTCTGGGACCCCGGGTTGCCGCCCATGGTTTGAAAGGTATGCAGTGTGATCGTATGATGCTAGGGAACAGCGAACAAACCCTTCTGAAAACTTGGCTGAGTTTTGGAATCTGGGGGCTCCAGCAGCTGCTGACTCACTTCTGTAGCATCTGAAGCCGCCAAATGAAGATTTTACGATGAGTGCGGTTGTTAGTTGTCACGGCGCTTGCGGTACACGAGTTGATAAAGATTACGTTGTTACCATGTTATTAATAGTCACGATTGCTTGCATTTGCGCCACCATGCATTATTGCGTCCCTAAGTGGGATCCAGTTGTTCGGCGTTCACTAAATATGATCTGGCTGCCGTTTATGGCTTTAGACCGCGGTTCAGGCTGTATGATGGCATCAAAATGCGAGCGGTGGCAGCAGCAGCAGCAGGAGGGGGAGGGGGAACGTGCAGCTGTGTCGTGTTGTATAGATTGGATTGGATGACAGATGACGGTTATCCGGGACACTCTCTTTGTTTCTCTCTTTTCCCCACACCGTCTCTTTCCTTCGTTGCTGCAACGGTTTTGGTTGGTTACCGCACATGCCGCTTGACCTTGCTTTCATGGAGACCTGGCTTTCCGGTCCTGAAGTATCTTAATCCTTTAGGGAAACAAGGGGGGGGACCTAACTACAGAGGAGGAAGTGGGAGGGGAGATGCACTGACGGACTCGCACTCACCGCATGCACCGCTCCGCGTACATGTCGCGGCCTGGACGGCGGATGATCACGCACTTGCAGCACTAAGCATTTGGGGCTTACGGCTCAAGGAGAGCGACGAGAGCTATGTCCTGTGCGGGATGGTCGGTCTCGTACCGCAACGTACTGAGGCCTTATGTTGCTATTCTAGAGTCGGTCGGTCGGTCGGTCCGAAACATGCAGGTCGGCCTTCCTAGTCCAATGGCCATTGGTTGCTTGGACCTGTTCGATGTGGCGCGGCCCGGCCCGGCATGGAGACCGGTACGGTGAAGGCGCAGTGAGTTGTGTGTGATGGTGGTAGCATGCGCTGGGCGCTGTGGAATTTTGGCTTGATGGATGTTCCCTGATGGATTCCTGATTCGTTGCTGACGTGGCCCCGCTGAGAGGGACGGGAAGAGCAGGATGTGATGCAGCGGGGTGACCATGTAGGCCACTGCTGCTACCATTGCTGCTGTGCTGCTACTGTTGCTATTTTTGCTATTGCTAAGTTGTGAGTTGCGAGAAGAACTGGTCCGTTGTACATTCTTCTAAGCTAACTACGGGTTTGACGATGTGGAGGTGAGCGTTTAAGGTGCGCTGTGTGCGCAAAACGATCGTGGACTGATTTTGATGATGATGTGGGGCGGAATCTGGCTCTTCTGGCGGGGAGTTGGCTGCTGGAATGCGTATTTGTGGTGTTGTATGCCATGTCATGTCATCAGTGCGGCTTGTGGGCGTGCCGGAGTGTTCCACTTTTCGTGTAGTGTGGAAACTGATGCGCTGATAGGCGCGGAGGTGGGTGGTTTCCGGAGTCTGGTCCGAAACGCGCTAGAGCTTCGAGATCGCGGTGTCGTGAACAAAGGCGGGTATGTGTCGTAATGGCGTTTCCTTTGCGACGTGAGGGAAGGGATGTCTTCTTCTGCAGCGCGATTATGGGGCACACGCCGTTGCGGCATCCTTGGACCTAATGGCCATGCAGGCTGGTTTTTTCAAGGGGTGGGACGGGCGATGTCAGCTTTAGGAGACCTGAGCTGTGGGTGGGTGAGATTGTGTGAGATCTTCAAGCGGCGCATAGGAGGGAATGATGTGCGCATCATCCCATGGGTTTCATGCGGGGTGGCTGCGTGTGTGCGCGGGTGAATGGGACGGAGAGCGTGTGGCTGCGTGATGGCTGCGAGTCAGCTGTTTGCAGAAAATTGAAGCATCGTCCGAGGCCTTCTGTTCCTTGTCCTTCAGCTTCCTTGCTGTTGTGATGAACGAGATGGACGGGGGAACAGTCCGATGGAAAGAGCCGAGCTGTGTAGCGGTTTGGATGTTGACGAAGACATCATCAGAGCTGTTATGGGCTACGGCTTATGCCCTACACAGCTGCAGCATGCTACAGCTTGACTGTGTACGGCGTAAGGCTTATGCGGTGAAAAAGGCAGTAGAGCTGCATGTGAAGTGGCGTCCGGCGTGGCTGCAGGGGCTATCATAGGGGTACAGCCGCGCGTTTTATGATGACAGTGAGCTCGTATTACGTTGCTGCGATATGTGCAGGGCACGGCAGGGGCAAGTGTTCGCTGTGTGCCCCATCATCGCGCACTCTACCTTGCCACGTAAATGTGTGTCATTGCTGCCCGCGCATATCACTAAGTTAAGAGCGGCAGCTTCGAAAGTAAAGGTGAAACCAAGCATAGACAATTTTGCGAAGCGCTGTCCATGCAATTTTTATGTGTTGTTTCTTCCTTCCTGCGACTACGAGATGTCTCGACCGGGTATAAGACAAAAACATGACAAAGAGAGAAGACGTTAACATGCCCCCTGCGGCGAAGTCGTAGGTCGTGTCCAAAGTAAGCAAGTATTTGTCGGGCGTCAAAGTAACAAGTTGGATGGGAGGGCACCGGCACCCTATGACTTTTCTTTGGTGTGTATATGCGCATTGCATAACTCGTGACGGAGAGAAAGAGCGTATGATGTACTTAGGACGCTACATGATGCTGTATAATGCAAGGGAGAAGTCTTGTCGGCCGTTGAGGAGGTGTCGAGTGTTGGGCATGTTCCAGTCTTGGTTAGCTGGCTGGCTCGCAGTTACATGTGGCGTCTACTGGCTTGTACTGTGCGGCCGTGCTGTGCTTGCCGTAGGCTCTGGGCTTGTCAAGGCGTAGCGCCGCGTCTGTTTCGCTATCTTTTGAATAAGAGTTATGAAAAAGTTGATGCCAGCGTTGATTACTGTAATGTGCTGCTGCGTGCCTTTAAGGCAGCGCTGGTTGGTTGACGATCGTGCAGCAGTGAGTGCTGCTTGTATGGTTGTTGGGTTGGATAAAGTTTTCGAACTGTTGAAATGCGCGGGGCAACGCGGGGTTGTGATTGTGCAATGTACAGTTGTGATTTCTACGGTCGTTTGCTGTTGTGTATAAGTGATGTGGTCGTCTCACTTTCGTTGATTGAGCTTCGATAGTCTTTTACTTACCATGTTTGTTTGACCCCCAACCCACGTCGTGTGCACAGACCTCATCCCAAATACGCTATGTAAGCAGCGGCAGCGATTCCGTCATTTCACCACCAACCTAGCACCGTCATGCCCCACTCCTAACCTACTTGCACCTTTCCCCCTTCAGGCATTAGCGTTGCCCCAAGTCCCACACACTTCCCAACGCTATCAGCGGCCCAACAGTCTCCAGTCCCAATCGCCTGGAGGCACAGCCGCCGCGTTGCCTGCTGTTTGTGAGCTGCGCCATGGCGGCACGCTAGGATTGAGGACCACAATCGCATCATTTGCTCCGAACTTTGTGACCGATCGTGCTTCAGCATTGCAAGCTAGCTGGATGATGGATGAGGCAATATACGGAATATACGGCACTCCAAAATGTCGGGTCCTTGATGGGTTTAGACTTTCGTTCCAGATGCCCTGCCCACTCCCACTCGGCGATGCCATCTTCAGTTTTCGATGCAGCAGCCCTAAATAGCATAACGATCTATGAATAATTTACATGGTCTGTTGCATTTCCCGCCAGCGGTTCGCGCACCATTTTTCAAAACAAACACCCCGAGGGAAACACCCTTAGCCGCCCATTAACCGCCCGCGCTCCATCACACCTATTATGACGCATCAGTTCGCTCCTCCGACGCAGATAGCGACAGGAAGGCGTAGTCCCCCTCCCGCAGGCACTTGAAACTGAGCCGCAGCGGGCCGCCGCCAAACAACCGGCTGTCCGTGACCATCGTGTGAAACTCCCCCCATTCCCCGCATTCGTCCACGCCGTACACCTCCTTGGCGGGCAGCAGCGCCTCGTTATACAGGTCCCGGTCGAGTTGGCGGCCCAGGAGTGCCGTACCGTCCCCAACACGCATTCCAATTCCCGATGCAAGCCCACCACCGTCTACACCCGCCCCCGAACCTCCAAATCCCCCGCCGCATGCTCCCAACTGCATTTCACCACCACTGAGAGTGAAACCCGCCTGCTGTGCCGCGGATAGCTGGACTGCCGCCGCAACACCACCACTAACATTACCACCGATAGGTTCGTCACCTGGACCCTTCCCCGCGGAGCCTCCTAGAGTGCGAGACTCTGCGGCTGTTACACCTGTGTCTGCGTTCGCACCTGCCATCGCCGCAGTTGCTCGCTGCGCAGCCGGCTCGAATTTGGTTACATTGACGCACGTGATCAACGGCTTCATGCCGTACGCCCAGATTAGCTCCAGTAGCAGCCCGCGTTCGATGCCCCACAGCGGGCAGATTAGATCGACACCCGTACCGGCGGCTGCACGAGGCATGAAGGAGTTGCAGACGTCAAGGATATCCCCCGTGGCGAGAGCTGTAATGCCGTACTGCTCTCGAAGGTGATTGATGTTGGCTCGGTAGCTGTCCAAGAAGGTGGGTGCCGAGGAGATCTCCAAGACAGCGTGGGGCAGACCTAGCGCACGAGCCTGATGGAGGTGGCAATGGTAATTGGAAAGCGACGGCAGAAAGGGTGGGCGATGTGACTTATGGGGTTGGTGTTTTGGGTTTACATTTAGCTACGCAGGCGTACAAACACAAACAAAGCACATGTGGGACACCAAGTATTTTGTGAATGATGCATGCGAGAGGACACGAGTGCGTAGGTCTTGGCGCCTAAAGCCCCCTTAGGACACGCACATGGGCACGTCGGGGAAAAGGTGAAAATGCATAAGATATGCGTGAGATACACTTCTACCTACATACCTGTAGCTGCACCACTTCAAGGGGGTGCGCTTTGAAGGACTGCTTTCTGCCTGCGGGTACGAAAGTCACTAGTAAGACTACTTCGCAATCCTCGACCTTGGCTAGCCGCGCTTGCACGTCCTCGCGCCAAGCGTCGTCATTGCCGATGGCCTCCAGAGCGACCTCCGGCATCCGCATTAAATGAAGGACCGTCATAGAGTCCTTGCCGCCAGTGAAAGAGACAGCCGCTTTTCGGGCGATGCTTGTTATGGGCGGCGCGGCGGCCATGTCGGCAAACGTGCAAGTAAAACTGCCTTCAGCCTCAATGATACATACAGATGAGGTGGTAACTGATTACTTCAAGTACTATGCATGGGCTGTCGCGAGAACTTGTAAATACGCATGCAACGACGGTGCGAAACAGTCGGAGTCAGGTTTAAGGTATCAGATCATCTCAATTTGCCAAAAGCCGTGACGATCAGCTGCCAGCTTAGCTTACGAGTTAATTTAACGTATTTGGTTAGTTGGACACCTGCCGGAACGCCCGGCATGGTTCATTAGTTGACAACTTGTACTTTAATTACTTGCTAACTTGTACGGCAAGCACGCGCAAGCCCTAATCCGGGCAAGTAGCAGACCGTTCTGGGAAGCAATTTAAGGCCTCCGACAGCGCTTGAAAATTCCTTTACAAACTCCTTTACAATACGTACAGTACAGCAGACTCCTTTCGCCCATGAATGCTACTGTGCGTGGCGTCCGCACGCCCCAACCCCCCTGCCACAACCGTACCATTGCCGTTCGCGACAACCCGATGAGGCCCAAATTGTCCATGGGACCATAGCACTTCACGGTGTGGACCCATGTACAGCCCAGGATGGCTTCTCAAGACGACCCATCGTTTGGACCCTATCCTCGTCCTCATCCCCACCATATCGCACCTGCTGCGCTGCGTTCCAAATGCCCTATTCCCGTGTATTATGCAAGGTTGTTGGGAGAGGGACTTCTTAACGCTCGTACGTACAAAGTCAGCCACTCCGAAAAGCCGCCACAGCCACTGCCGTACGGTAGCCATACAGGACGACAGTTGCCTGCTTACAGTTCGGTCAACCCCCTGGGACTGCCAACAATCTTGTCAAAGTCCCACTTCACTCCCCCAGTGTTCAAAGAAACCGCCGGCCCTGTCTTTTGCTGCTGGTGCTGCCCTGTCCCATCGTCCTCGTTCGCACTCCACCACATGCTGCTGCCAACACCAACCCCTGGCGCGTTGCTCCCTAGTTGGGAAACCTGTCCCATAACACGGCTCCACGCCTGCTCCTGCCCCGCGGACGTAGCTGCCTCGCGCCCCGCACCGGCCCCAAGCTCGCTACCTGATCTGCTCAGTCCAGAAGCTTTACTAAGGTAACGGGGTCCCAGCTCGATTCCCCCGTCACTCGGTAACGTTGACGACGGCGCCGCCGCCGCCAGACCACCCTCAGAATAGTCCCTGCGGGAAGATTGTACCGCGCCACCGCCGCCGTCACTGCCGTGCAGCCCTGTGCCGACGCGACCGTCCCGGAACGCCGCCAGCAGGGCATCCGCTGCGGCGAAAGCTGGCGCCAAGCCCTGTAAATGCTCTGGAGTTGGCGGCCGCTGTGGATGATCCGGAAGAGCAACACCGCCTGCGGAGGCAGCGGAGCCGCCGACGGAGCTGACTGGGGTTGCTGCTGCTGCTGCTGCTGTGGAGCCGCCGGTGGAGGCCACCCCAGGCCCGACTTTGCCGGATCCGCAGTAAGCAGCTACGGATGTAGTGCTTGGCTGCACACCAACTGCCAGGCTGGAGTTCCCAACTGAAAAGCCACCTCCGGCGGCGGAGTGTATGCCGCCACTGGTATAGAAGCCGTTGCTGCTGCCAATACCGCCGCCGCCGGTGCCACTGTTACCTAACCCACCGTTGCCGCTGCCGCCTCTACCGCCGGCGCCGCCGCTCAAGTGGCTATTGTCACTGCTGCCGCCAGCGCCACTGCTGCCACCAATGCCGCTGCCGCCGCTGACTCCGCCGCTGCCCACGCCATTGCCGCTGCCGCCGCCGACGCAATGACTGCCCCCTGCGGACCGCCGCAAGGCGTCTTCCTTTGTTGGCTCGGGTGGAGGGAACCTGCAGCCAAACCAGCACACGCGAAAAGGCAGCGTCCTCAGACAACGTCCTGCGTGCTAAACAACCAGGCAAGGACAAAAGCGTAGAAGCTCCGCGGCTGCTAGTAAGCAGCGTCTGTCAGGAGCGCGTCCGCGGTCAATGTGTTAGTGCTCCATCGCCCTTCCGCAAACGGCGGCGCGACGACAACGCCCATCGGTGCTGTGGGTGGTGTGAGACAACGGCGTCGCCTTCTTCCATCGTTCCTTCCATTAACAATAGCCTTCGCCCGTGACTGTTGCCTCCGCATCATCACCCGTCCTCCCCCCTACGATGGGACTTGAGCACGAACACGACACGAGAACGACACGAACACGGAAGTGTTTCCCATGCGGCCCATCCGGATGTACCTCTTGCCGTCCAGATGTCCGAAGTCTCCCACCCAGGATTTGGACCACTTCACCACCTCGGGTCGCACCGCCTGCGATAGATACAGCGAACAGTGAAGCGGGATGCAGGCAGCTGGTAAAGAGACACGGCGCAGCAGCAGCGAACACCCACCTTGAGCGCCTCGGCTCGCGGGCTGGGGCGTGGCTGCTGCGATGATGCGACCGGCATCGGGCCCGCCGGCCCCCTCGGCCCCGAGCTTGGACTCATTCCCAGCCACCCTGTCCGGCCGCCCCAGCTGCTGCCCAATGTTCCTGCAACTGTGGTACTGCCAGTGGGTGATCCAGTCGCCCATCCGGATGGCTGCGCCAGCCAGTGCTGCCCCGATGCTGGCTGCGTCAACTGCTGTTGGTGGTGCTGGGGTAGCTGGTATGTTGACGCGGAAAAGTGTGGCCAGCGTCCCTCCCATACGGTGGGCCCCGAAAGCCAGGCCGGGGCGTTCGGAGGCTGCGCTTGCTGGCTGTCCGCCCACGCCACACGCCGCGTTTGGAACAATCCTTCATCTCCGTACTGACGGCCGCTGTACGGGTCGTGCGGCTGCTGCGGTACCGTGGACGTCAGCCCCGCAGGGCTGACGACAGGGTAAGGGCCGCCGCTGCGCGGCGCCTGAGCCTGGCCCTGCACCGCAGCGAGCTCGGTGGCTGCGTTGGGGACGCGCGGATACAAGGTGAGCAGCGACGCGTCCGCTGGCGGGTGTGCCGCCGCTGGTGGCGGTGGCGGTCCGTGGTGCGGCATCGCCGGCCAGGAGTTCCGAGCTGACGCTGCTGCTCCCTCCCTACCTCGGGGCGAGGCGGCGGCTGGTGGCGCGGACTGCTCTGAGCCCCGCTGGTAAGGACCTGGCGCCGGTTGCGGCTCCGCCCACGGCTGCTGCTGTTGCTGCTGCTGCTGTTGCTGCTGCTGGTGAGGCTGCTGTTGTTGTTGCTGCTGTTGCTGCTGCTGCTGTCTGGGTGTCGCTGGGCGCTGTGACATCGGGTCTTGCTGCGACGCGTGCGACGGAGAATTTGGCTCCTGCTGTTGTTGTTGTTGGTGGTGGTGGTTGTGGAGCTGCTGCTGTGGGCGCTGTTGTTGCTGAGGTGGCGTGATGAACCAGGCAGTGAAGGGGTTTGACTCCAGGCTGTCGGCTATCTCCGAGGGCCGGGAGGGGGACTTCGGGGAGGCGCCGTGCGACCAGGAGGAGGCGGAGTTCTCCTGCAGGCGCGTGAGGGTGTTTTTAGTGGCGGTAGGGCAGGGCAGGACAGGGGGAGTAAAGACACGCAAGAAGGCCCTCACCAGAGTTGAGCTCAACTTGCAAGAAACGCATGAACCCGTATACACAGGAAATGGGACTTAGGAAATGGGTATGGGTGACCCAGTCCCTAAGGCAATCCCGGTGAAGGCAGTCGAGGAAACTCCGGGAGGAAGCCATTCATTGAGGCCGCTGCAAGTCTCGCACATGCTAAGAGGCCAGAGGAAAAGCATGAGGGGACGTACGGCCAAAGACAGCATGGCCATGGACGAGGGCAAGGGAGGCGCCTTACAAGGCGTGCACCACCGTATGGCCGCGTGGGGAAAGATTTAGGGCCCTTGGGAATAGCGGGGCCATTCCAGCGCTCCCTCTCTATCCTGTATATAACGTCCATGGGGCCCCCGGCTTTTACGGACACACCCGCACTTGTGTGCGGAACTTGTAACTTGTAACTTTAAACCAGCGGCCCTATCCCCACTATCATAAGTTCCAAAGTTCCAAACACCCACCTGCTGCTGGTGCTGTTGCGGGGTCCCCCGGGGCCGCGGGAAAGCCACCGCGGCCTCGGCAGCGCGCTGCCTAGCCTCTCGGCGGGCTCGCGCTGCCGCCCTGTCCGCTTGGACTTGCTCCCGGATGCGTGAAGTGACCTTGGCGGTGCGGATGGGCTGCAAGGCAGGGAGGATGGAAGGTCACAGGAAGGGCATATCTTCAAGTGGATCGCTGTAGGATGGGACGGACCCGGACTTGGGGTAACTCACCATGCTAGCATGGGCAAGTCAAACTGAGAGGACATGAGCTCGTCTTTCAAGATGCAGCGGGCAGGCGCCCGGATCCCTGGTCAGGAAGACGGCCCCCCTCACGGCCGTCATTTTGCCTTACCTTCCAAGCAGGCCGGCTGGCATCGTTGCCGGGTTGCTGTTGATGCTTTAATTGCGGCCTCTGAGAAGCCGCCTGCTGCTGCTTCGTGTGGGGCTGCGGCGGCGGCGGTGGGGAGCCCCATGGGGACGCTACCGCCGCTGCTCCAGACGCACTTGCCGGGGCGGCGATAGGCCCGGTAGGCTGTACCACGTACAGCTGCGGCCCTGTACTACCGTTGCCGTATGGGTCAGCGACCCCGTACGGCGCCTGGAAAGGCCCCAGCACGCCAGGGTGTGCCGTCGGCCCGCTGCCGATCGGGTACGGCTCTGGTGCGGGGCCGCCGTGGAGGGGCGGCGTCGCGAATGGCGGTGGCGGCATGTACTGCTGCTGCTGCTGCTGCTGTGGCGGCGGCGGCAGTTGCTGCGCGCGTGTCGGAGACGCAGCGTGGCCGTATCCGCTGCTGGGCACGTCCACGTAGCGAGATGTCACCAGGTCGTTTTTCCAAATGGGCTGCACGTTGCGGTGCCGTGCGTGTGTGTCCAAAGGGAGCATAAATTACATTAAAAAAAGTGGGTGCGAAAGCAGCCTTTCCTTTCCTAGCACATATATGCGCAAGTGACAGGTGCGGATGCAGATTGGGTGGCCTGAGGCAATCCCACCTTCCATGAATCCTGTACAGCATCCCAAGGCGAATCCTCTCCCTCGCTACTGGGCTCTTGACCAGTCCGTCCCTGACTCCAACTCTCCTCTCTTCCCTCCCTCCGGCTCCCCTACCTGCCCTAGGAACGCCTGCGGGTCCGGTTGCACCGAGTAGGCCAGACGTGGGGGCCGCCGGTCGGGGCGCGGAGCAGACCGGGAGCGCGCACCTCCGCCACCGCTGCCACTTCCGTTACTGCTGCTGCGCCACTCCTCTCCATCACCCCACCAGGAGGGATATTCGGGACCATGCCGCCCGTCGCCTGCCAAACACCCGCGTGTGCAACCCCCAGGGAGACAGGGTGTGTTCAGTGCGTTCCCGTCCTCGCCCACCACGCTCCCTAACTCGATTATTATCAGCTTCCGGACTTTTCTCCATCGCGGATTTCAACAAGGCGGCTTTCCCCGTGTTCCGTTCCCGACTTACATTTCGCAACTCCACCAAACTGTCATGCAAGAAATACATTGACCAACCCGAACAGCGGCGCAGCTTAACCCTGCGGACCACTCGGGCCCCCGTGGCCATGCGGCATCATCCCTACTTGGCCCTGGCGCACCTGGCAGCATCGGGCTGCGCTTCTTGCCCGGGGGGGAGTAGGTGTGCCCGATGTCCCCAGTGCGCCACTCCGAGGCAGGCCGCCCGCTAGGACTCAGGCCCCGCTGCGCCAATCCGGCTGCAGCGGCGCGGTCCAGGAGCTTGGCGGGCATGTCCTGGGGGTCGATAGCCAGACCTTGGCCTAGGCCAAAGGTCAGCCAAGTGCGATGATAGATGGGGTTGGGGTATGCAAAATAAGCGCGGGCCAAGTTCTGAGCAGGACTGGGAAATGTCCCTCAAAGCAAGAGGGCATTTTGATGGCTTTCAGACAGTTGGTTCAGTCATTCCACGTTCCGTTTAGTTCCAACCCCGATTTTGCGGAGAAATAGCTCATATGGCCATGCCGCCGTCGTTCGCCACGAGCACACCTTTGTACTGGAGCCATTTCTCGGCGTGCCGCAGGGCAACGTTTGCCGCAGCTAAATCGGCTCTCTGCTGATCAATGCCCTGACTTGAAGAAGGCGCTGGCGCGTCTGCTGCTGCGATGCAGTTAATGAAGTTGCGTTGGCATCGCATCGAGTATTTGCCGCTGCATTAGTCAGTGGCAGGCCGCACCTGCTTCGACAGCTGATCCAGGTTGATGATGTAATTTTCGTACTCGACACTGCTGCTACAAACAGGAAAAAGCACGATTTACTTGCATCGGCGGGCTGGTGAAGGCCATCCTCGCGTTTGACTGCGTTGACACCTGGCCCACCTCGCCCTTTTGAATGTCCAAAACCACGTTTTCGAGTTGGGCCCGCAAATCTTCAAGCTGACCATTGATGCCAGGGATAGCCCTCTTGACAGTAACCGCCTTCGCTCCATTTGCGACTAGGCCCCGTAATTCCTCGAGCGGGATGATTGCCTTTCCATCAAGACAGCCAAGCTGCAAAACCCCATAGAGCAACGTAAGCTTGGAGACCTCCTGCCAGTCCTGTTCGGCATAATTTTGCAGAAAGGTGCGAATAGCTTTGTTGCGGAGAAGATGCTCAAACCAGGGCTCAAATGACCTAACCATCCTGTGAGCTCTTTGATGTTAGATACCACCATAGTGTTCTGTTGCCTAGTTTGTTGCTCTTTCGTGCTTCGGCTGTCATCCATGGCAGTTGTTCGTTTTTTATCGGTTGACGCATCGAGAATCATGCTGCATGCGCACATTAAAAATCTTTAAAGGGTGCAACAACATATGCTAAAGTGAGACAGGTCCAAGCGCCCAAGAACAGCTGCACAGCAGCCGCTCGGAAAGGTTAGGTGTCGCCCGCTACTCCAGCCTCTCCAGGATCCTGGAGCCCGTCCTGCCTATGTAAAGCGCGCTTCACGGCCGCTCATAATCCATTGACGCACGGAAGATACACTCACTTTGGTTTCATCTACTAAGACGGCCGAAATCCCCATTACCCTGGCAGGCTAACGTGTGCCCATGCCCTTAACCTGTTCAAGAAACCAAAGCAGTGTAGTATGCTATCGCATCACAAAGTCGCCTCCAACACTGCAGGCACGCCAACGTTGCCTTGCCGCACCTTTACCAAGGATTATGCGCCGCAAGACCGCGCTAACCTTCTTCTCCGCGCGTGACAATACATGGCAACGGCCGCCTACAGCCAAATCACGATCTTGCGCAATCCGAAAGGAGGACCGAACAATGCATTCAACAAGCAACTCCCTGTCCTCCGATCCGCCATCCTCGAGGCTGCTGCTGCTCAACGCCAACAGTACATAGCCCTGCCTTCCTTTATTATCCAGGCTCCTTTTCAAGCCTGGGTTCGCATCGCAACACGCACTGCCACAACAATTCCAGCCCACAGTGAACCCCAGCCAATACTGAACATTAAAACTTCTTTTGACTTCGGTTGAACAACTGGCCCCAGGCTTCGTGGAGCTCCGAGCAGAGGACCATCTCTGCCGGTGACCGCACCGAATATCGATTTTTAAACGGTACACACTCCTCTGAAGCACCGCTCGGGCACCCGAAAAGATTCGCAGCGCTGTGTTCTAGGCCCTCCTCCATCTCCAGATATTCACAAGTTTGGAGACCATAACCCTCCCCAAAACCGCTCCCGACACGCTCCCAAATTTCCGGAATGCGTTTGCTGAGCGGCTAGGCGACACACCACGGCCATTTGCCCATCCGATCCAGAACTGCTCCATCTTATAGCTATGTCACCGACATGGCGCACCCTTCGGGCTCTATCCCACCCGAACGCCACCTCATGTTCTGATCCGTTCTCTTGCACGCCTCTCCGCCACCGACACCCCTTTCGACTCCGCAAAGCTCCCTCCCTCAAGGAAACATGGCCAGCTGCAGAAGCGCCGTGGTCTCATTCCAGCCCATCATCAGGTTCAGGTTCTGCAGGCCCTGACCCGAAGCACCCTTGACAAGGTTGTCAATCACGGAGATGACGACAGCGCGACCCGGTATGCGGTCGGGGAAGACATTCATGAGCGCGTAGTTGCTGCCGCGGACATGGCGGGTATGGGGAATCACGCCCTTGCTCAGCACTCGCACGAAGGGCTCGCCCTCGTATGTGGCGGCCAGGTGCGCGCGCAGGTCGTCCACAGTGACGCCCGGCGCCAGCTTGACGTAGCTGGTGCACTGCATGCCTCTGCAGGAGGCACGTAACAGTGAGGGGAAGAGACAGATGCAAGCAGGCATGCATATTTTAGCCTTCAAAGACACCACAGACAGACGAGCACTTGATCTGCGGGGTCCAGGAGAGGAGGGAGGAAAAGTCCCGGCTCTCCTTAGGGTTTAGCCACACACCAGAGGAACGCAGGCCACCCACACCCACCCACCCACCCACCCCCACCCCTCTGCTGGCCCCTCTCCCTTAACTGTCGTGGCTGCCCAGCCCGCTAACGCGCCGCTAGCATTCACCTGCTCATGTTGATGAGATGCGGCGTGAAGGAAACCGTGACGGGGGTCTTTGCCGCTTCGCTAAGTCCCTGCTCAATCTCCGGCATGTGGCGATGCGAGCCCACTGCGTAGGAGTTGATGCCCTCCGCGATCTCGCAGTACAGGTTGGACTCCTTGGCGCTGCGGCCCGCACCCGACACGCCTGACAGATGGGCAGTTGCGGAGGAGTTTTTAAGCCTTACGAATCGGCATCCTAGGCAACCCGCTGGTTACCCATGTTGACCCTCAGCACCGCGAACCGAGCCATCCGTTTCCCGTTGCTCAGCCCCATTAATAGCCCAATGTTCCCAGGTCCAGTGTCTTCCTCACGCCTCCAAGCTGCCAGCTATCCCCACTGCCTCCCGCCTCTTCATGGCAGCGCGGCCTCTCCCTTCTCCTCCCCATCTTCATCTCGTGGCATTAGCCCCGGCTGGAGCCTGGTTTCCAGCTACTTCCCCAGCCCCGTCTGACCTTAACCTTTACACTGTAAATTTCAGCCTTTACACTACAATCACTGGGCCGCTTGTCCCCGATCGGGTCGAGTTCGACTTAAGATGTTCGCGTCTTTATTTCGCTCTAAGCTTTCCCCCAAAAGGAGCGCTGACCCTTTCACAGGGGCCACGTGGGTCCGACCACACATTCCTGCTGGGCCCCTGCTGGGCCCCCGCTCACCCCGGCCCCGCATCCAGCCTCCCCCATTCCCCCATCCCGAGAGCCCTGTCTAACCAGTGCAAAGTCCGAACCAGGCCGCCACGGAACCCACCTGACTTTGCGTCGATCAAGATATCTTCCGGCAGGATCAGCTTGGCCTGCGTATGCACGTGCGAAGGGACGGGGTTAGCAAGGGGTATAGGCCGGGGTACAGGCCGGGACATAGGCCTCCACGTACCTTGAGCAGCGGGTACAGCGGCAGCTGCGAGCAGGTGGGATAGCAGCCGGGGTTCGCCAATAGGCGAGCCGTCTTCACTTGGTCCCGATACACCTCCGTCAGGCCGTACACGGCCTCCTTCTGGAGATCCACGGCCGCGTGCTCGTGGCCATACCTGTACGGCATGGATACGGCAGGGCACAGCGAAGATAATGTCACCAAGCTGGCGCACCGGGGAAAAGCAGCTCATTGTGGGCACGTGTGGCCGACAGACCGGTAGTAACCGGGGCCGCATGTCTTCACCGCTGTTGCGCCGCCGCATACAGGCGCTGCACGCCTTGTTGAGGGTATGTAGCTGTGAGGCGCTGTTGCACCTGTCCCGTTGGCCAAACAAGCCATGATGACCGTGTAGAGCTATTCATTCGGGCTTCACTCAGCTGGCCACCATGGCAAGCAAATCATTGCTCTCCTTAATCTGGGCTTAATCTAGCTGGAACAGATCAACAGGTCAGGAGCTTGAGATTGCTGTGCGGCTCGCACCCTGCCTGCCGGGCAGCGTGCGGGCACCCTCAGGTCCAAGTCAGACGGTCAGGTGCGCCACTGGGAAGTCACCGTAGCACCGGAGAGCTGACTTGGCGCATCCGCCCTTGCGCAAAAGTCCCCCGCAGCTGGTGGCCTTGGTAAATGCCTCCTCTTTCCACGTCCGGTGCCGCCGCATTCTACCTGACTGCCGCTCCTTCGAATGTTAGATCCGTAACAGGATCCACGTCACCCTCCCCGCCCTCCATGTCACCCTCCCCGCCGAGTACAGCCCCATCCTCCAGTCCCAAACATAGGGAGCTGTGCTGACGCGCCCCCATGTTTTACATTTGTACAGTGTTGGACGACGCACCATTGCGCGTATACAGCAGGGTCCCGGAGCCGGAAATCTGCGGACAGGTCCACCACCTTGAGAGTGGAGGGCAGCTTCTTGATTACCTCCTGCGGTCAGACATCCGACATCATGTAACTATTTCCAAGGTATGGGTGCAGTTAGCACTGGAGCCTGGGTAATACTCACTGAAACATCATTCATTACCAAATGGCATCAGCCCCCATAGGTGAGGAAAGGTGGGCATTAGCACGGTGTGGCGCTGCGCCGCAAGTGTATACTGTTATGACCCCGCACTTGTGTCCATATGCACCTGTGTGGTGGCATGCGGCAGGCAGCAAAAGGCCGCGTCCACGTCCGAGAAGTTGACGTCATCGATCTTGACCAGCTTGGGGACGTTGGTAGCAGTAACCAGGTGAGGGAAGACGTCCGAAAAGTTCTGCATCGAGGCAGGATGTTGGCAACTGTAAGGAGCAGCGTGCTGTGTTGCGCACGGCAGGGCTAAAGGAACGTGCCCGTCGCATCTTCGCTACTCACTACTCTGACACTACTCTAACATGATGATCAAATAAGTTTGCTGAGGCCCACAAACAGCAGGGTTGCCCAGTCCGCCGTTAGGGTTCAAGGAATGCCCACGTGACCAAGCACATAACAACGCGTGGCTTTATTCAGCCGTCACTCATGTCTATTGGCTGCACATCTTTTCGTGCAAAATTGGTGCCGTGGCTGACCTTGCCAGCCTGCTTGTCTCCCGTCAAAACCGTGACCTTGATGTTCGGGTGCAGTGCGCACAGCCGAACCACCTCAGCACCCGTGTACCCAGACGCGCCCAGCACGGCAATCTTAGCCACATCCGTTTTAAGAGCCGATGGATTCGATGCCGGAACCGGAGAGGCCTGTTAGGGTTGATCAGTCGCCGTCCCATGAAGACAAGGAAAATTGACGCGATGCAAGCCATGCAAAAGGCAGAAGAGATCAGCGAGCGGCGGTAAAATTTGCAGCGCAAGGTCTCGTGGATTTGTCCCGCACAGCAGGTTCTCCGAAACACGTGCGCGACGGCGTTGATTTACCGAAACATGTCATGGCAAGCCCGATATCAACTGATCTTACCACGGCTTGCCCCTTGACGGTAACTGCCGTCCGACGGCTAAAGCCAGTCCGAGCGGTCGAGTGCTGTGCAAGCTGCATGGTCGTGCCGAGAGCCCAACGCGTCCAGATAGTATGGAAATTAAAGAATGTATTGGCTGTGTAATTGACGTTCGCAACGCAGACGGGATTAGTCGCAGCGATGGGACTCATTTCATGAAAGGAAACATGCGTCGTGGGCCTCCCAATGCCAAGGACCAAAACGCTATGAAGCGACGACCCTTCCGCATCGTGCAGCTCCGCAGCCTTTACAATCTTGGCACCTTTGTATATTATCATGCAAACAGCAGTGACCCGTGGTTGCCAGGGGCTGAAGCCCCTGAGCGCTAGGTGCGTGTGGGCCACACCTTTCTGTGCTGCACATTTGAGCACCGTGCAATGGACAACAGCATTGACTAATTTGATCTATACATCTTACTACAGGCGCTCTGCTGCCCGCATGCCAGCTTTTGGCTCGGCCACTTCCAGGCGTTCTAGCGTCCAGGCAAGCTTAGCCTTGGTTTGCGGGAGTATGATATGGAGGCATCAATACCGTTATATAGCGATTGGTGTGCGCGGGCCATTTGTGGTTAATCGCAGGTGTTCGCCAAAAAGGGCAAGGGCAAGACTGCGTTTCGCCAAGGTTCCATGCCTGGTCAAATGGAGATGATTAAGGTGAGCCACAGCGCTGCTCTACCCTGCTTTTTTTATGAATCGCGTGTCATGCACGGTAAAAGTGAGCAGCGACTATGAATTCCTGTTGCAGCGGGAGCCTCCAGTTCCTGAGGTGGATCCTGAGAACGCTGAAATTGTCCTCTTCGTCCGCGTCCTTAAGGTGAGTCCATACTGCAGCTGCCGGCTGCCCTAAGCCTTGCGCCAAGACTTGGATGTCTCTGGTCCTTTGCAGTACAAGGACCCTACCCTGAACATGGACGTCGGCCCCTCGCTGTGGATGCCGGTCAACCTCATTAAAGGCAACCAGGTCCTAAACTTTCTGGTAGAGGCACTCAAGACGGACTGGGGCATGCGGCTGTACGGCCGTACGCTCATCTGGCAGATCGCGTCCGGTATCTACCAGGTGCGCTATGGATACGTTCTGTCTTGCGGAAGGCATCAGACCATTACAACGCGATGCACTGCTGTGTGCCCGAGTCGTGTTGTGGCACAGCGTGAATCGGGCTCACGGGTTTCCTCTGCGGCTTGCTGGCGTGGGTTGGCCAAACGCATGGGCCTTGAAAAGACAGCACAGCCAGGACCCTGGCCTCACACAGCGGCGATACCGCGGTAGGGATATCATGTGCTGCTTTGGTTGCTACTACTGCGGGCCTGACGTCTTACTACAGCCTGCGGCCGCAACATTGACAAGTGCTGCTCGGCTGGTATAGGCAGCTCGCAGTTGCTGGCTTCGGGTCTTGGAAAGCCGGGAAACCCACATCAGGTTTTGGTTTGGTAGGACAGCCGAACAGCCTGCGCCGCTTTTGATCTCCCGCTCGGCCACCTTGGCTCTTTCTTACGTACATCTAATCATCAATTGGATCTGGGTGCACCGTATATATATGCCTATGTATTTGCATACCTTTCATTGACCTAATGTGTTCCCTGGGACGCTCACAGCGCTGCGTGGTCGCCTCGACGCGGCAGCTAGGGCAGGGGCGCTCCAGGCAAAAGCCTCTGAAGCAACAGCTCGCATGCGGGACAGGGGCATTTAGCCTGTGGGGGTCCACTGCCATCCGGCGTATTGTATTGTAATTAATGTACTCTGGGGGAAGATAGAATTTCCAAGGACACTGGCCAGCGGTCCCCTCGCGTCTGTGTCTCTCCTAACAGGACAAGGCCAAGGTGGAGAAAGATCTGAAGAAGAACGTTCCGCAGTTTGCCAACGCTGCTTCCAAAGACTTTGAATACGCGTTCAAGATTCGGGTAAGTCGAGAGAGCTGGTCATCTGGCCGGGATCCTGCTTGGTTCAGGCCTGGGGCGAAGAAACTCCCGACCTGGGGCGAAGAAACTCCCGACCTGGGGCGATTCGCAGTGGCAGCCGGAGCTGTTGCTGCCATCGACGCCCCTAGCATGACCTCGTTGTGTGAAGGCACGGCTGGCAGCAGTTTGGTTGCGAGACGGACAATTCCTCGCGAGTTTTTGTTGCTCACTAGCAGAGCTCTTGCTGCTGTAAGTTCTCACCATTTCCAGCATCGGTTGCCACCGCGACACCTCCTAGGCCAATGCCTCGCCGTGGCCACGACTTGTTCCGCATCCCCCTTTTGAGATTCCCTCCTTTCCCTCCACTTCTTTATTCGTTATTCGGTCCGCCTTTGGAAACAGGACAAGTCGGTTCCCAAGGACTGGCTCAAGCCTGAGAACCTGACCATCTGCCCGCCACCGGAGGATCTGGCGGGGACGGGGGTGGCTCAGCTCAAGGCCTTTTTCTCCATGGACAACCTCATGAGCATGTTCAAGGCGCCTGAGGCACCGTCCTCGTCCGCTCCTGCCCAGCAGCAGTAATTCGACTCGTCAATAGCGCACAGGCTCGGGCAGCGTTGAGGCCGTCGCTTGCATTTTCCGTCCACAGCAGGCTCTGAAAGATCGTGGCGGCGGTTCTGCAGCATACAGAGCAGGACAGGCGGCAGCAACGTCCGCGCGCAGCTGCTGAGAGATGAGAAGCATCGATGTACAACTCTGGGCGGAGGGAAAAGAGAGTAGGGTTGTGTGTGTATGTGTAGCTGCTGGCTGGTGTGTGCGCTTTCAGAAACACCAATCAGCAGCAGCAGGTCAGAGCTAGCTGCCGGGGTGTAGGGCCTCAAAACGGCGTCGTTAGGCGTGCGTGCTATTGCGTCTTTGGCACGAGCTGCTGCCCGCCACTGGCCATCACTGTGCGTTCATTTGGGTGTGCAGCAGCAGTTGGGCGAAGCCGTTGCGTGGCACGCATTCCCCGGACGGACGCGAAGGCTTACTCGGGCGGCATGTGCTGTCCATTCCTGTTGAGCATTACATGACAGCGCTATTAGATGACAGGTCATCCTTAGGTTGTGGTGGCTTGTCTTCCAGGGCTATCTCCCAGGGGTGTTCTCCCTGGATATGTAGTCGCTGCGATTGGTCATTACCCTCTGGATGGACCAAGACTACATCGGAAGAAAACGTTTCTACGCCCTCTAGTCCATCTTGCACTCCTCGGCTCTTTGCGTGCTCAGTATCATACAATAGCAGGTTCTCCATCAAGCGCGTCGCTGCGGCATGGCACAGCCGGAATCGACTAGAACAATCGGTCGCTTCCGTAACGGCACTGGAGGGTGTCTTCGCGGCTCTGTTTGCTGTCTATCCCTTGTGTTTGCTTGCGGGACTATGCTTCCTTTGAACACCGTCCTCTCTTTGGAGCGCATAGAGGTTTTTTTCTAATGAAAAACCTCCGCATTCATCCTTCGAGCTGTGTTCGGGCATTTTGTGTTGCTGCTCGGCTGCTCGGACGAGGCTTGCGGCGGCGTTGCGCCGTCTGCGCACACAGACATGGTACAGGAGGGCAAGAGTGGCGTCGCGAGTTTGTCTGCTGCGCTTTGTTTGCGTGAGCTGTGTTGTTGGAGGATCAAGGATTTTGTTGTCTCCAGGTGAGAGATTTTTGTCGTGCGGAGAGGTTAGAGGTGGTAGATAGGCAGAGGCGTTGGCGGCGTTTGCTGCTGGAGTTACGAGAGGGAATGACTGGGAGCGTTGCAATATGTTCGGCACAACTGTTGGTATGAATGTGCAAAGGCGTTGTGTGCGAAGTATTGGAGAAGAGCAGTACGCTATGCACGCGGTGGAAGGCGTATTGCTGAGGACGTTTTGTTGTTGATTTGGCGAGAAGTGTGTAAAAAATGTGTATTGAGTAATGCGGACTGCAAACGACATGTTCTCTGCTCTTTTTCCCGTTGCCGTATGGCGGCATCCAGTTGCATGGGACATGAAGTGAGAATGTCCACCTTTATAGGGGTACGAGGAGAAGTGACTGAACTTTTTTCATCTATTGCACAGCGTATTCGAACCTGCTATTGATATCCTATTGTAGGATAATCCTCTCCACGAAAACATGTCCCTAACATCCGCACAGCAACGGACAATATTTAGCTCCGTCATTCTCCGTCCATCTGGGCGTGTACTTACAACTGCGCCTTACCTATCTCCATATACCACAGCAACCACACTCGTCTCAACTCAATAATTCAGGTTCATCACAACTTCTCCCTTTCCGAGAATATTGTAGAGTACATACGCACTCATGAAAGGGAAGCCTCGTTTACCCGTCAGACTGCCGAACTGCTGCTTCCCGTGCTACTGCTGCTTTTCAGAAGATGTCGTCCTCTGAAGGCGCTGCTCCCTGCAGTCGGCTTGGGAACAGAATGGACATCCCCAGCATGAGCGCTGCGAACACGATGAAGCCATTCATCACGGCGCTGTAGTACGTGTCATCAGGTATAATGCCCAGATATCCCGCAAGCTGAGGATAGGGCAGCGCAAAGGAACACAGCGCCAGCGGGCACCGGGGTGTTCTTGATCAGTGCGGCGGAATACACCGAGGAATGGGGGGAGAAACGAACACGAGCGAGTGAAGGTAGAAAGGGTGGGAGAGGCCGATTTGGCAGAGGACACAAATGAAATGCACGCACGCACGTAACTCTTATGCCCTCCCTCTCCACCTGCATGTTGGGAGTCGGCGGGTATGACGACACAACAGAGGCAAAATTTTCCAGTTAGTATTACACTGTACCAGCAGCAGCAATCGCATCAGCAGCAGCAGCGACAACGGCCCCTCTGACTGCCACCCACCTGGCTCAGAGCGCCTCTGCCGGTCTTCAGCTCACCCACCACTGCGGCCGCAAAGCCTAGCATGGCCAGTCGGCCATGGAACAACTAGGGAAGGGAAAGAAAGGGCCGAGAATGGAAAGCCAGGGGGTGAAGGGACGAGATAAGAGAGGCGGCGGGCAGTTTGCAGTGACGGCAGCTAGGGCAGGTAGTAAAGGCGCATAAATACCATCGGCGCAGGCCTGGAAAGCAAGGCCACGTCCTGGGCGGCAAAGCAAGAGTGAACCAAGTTCGGCTGCCGTTTCAACCACATCGAGGGGGCGCAGAATGGAGAGGAAAGGCCTGGAAAACAAAAGAGTAACCCTGAAGGCTCTCGGGCTTCCCCCCCTTACTGCCGCGTCTTAACCGACAGTCCCAGTCCGCTGCCTCGCGTTTTTACCCGCACTTTTCGTCGCACAGCGACGCCTTCCTGCCTCCTTCCCTACCTACCTAGCTAACCCTACCTACCCGCCTATCCGATACCTCCTTCCCCACCTCGTTTCGTTTTGTGAATCCCCAGCCAGAGATGCCCAGCAGCTTCCCCAGGTTGAGCGGGTTGACCAACACACTCGGAGGACCCGTGGGTCGGCGGGCAACATCCTGCAACAGCAACACACAAACACCATGAACACCAGCATAAGCATAAGCAACAGCAGCGGCAACGGACAGCGGCAGCTCAAGACAGGTGGTCTCAGGCGAAAGCTAAATATTCTGTGCTGTAAAGCGCATTGCAGCAGCCCTCAGCAGCAGCACGAGATGGGAGGCATCTCTATGATCTGATGGTCCAAGGGATGTAACCCCGGATCGGGGGGATTCGAGAGGGAAGTGTCCGGGTTTCACTCCAGGCGCTGGTGCCACGCATCCGCCTCAACCGACCCAGGACCCCTATCCCCGTTCGCGCTTTCCCCATTCCCACATGCGTTGCGTACAGCAGCCAACCAACCGTGCAGCCAACTGCAACGCTCACCCGTAGATTCTCCGGGGAGAAGGTAGGCGACCAGGGGCCCAGTCCTCCCAGCGCGTTGTAGATGACGATGCCCATCAGCATGGCAGTGATGGTGGCCGTGTCCATGCCGGTCCACATCTGAACCTGTTCCACACCATCGAGCACCACGAGGAAAGCTGTAGCTGCAGCTGCTAAGGAATATCCGTTCGCATAGTTTGAAGAAGGAAGGCATCGAGGGATCAGGGCGCCAGAGCTTGGAATTCGCGACGTGCGCGCGAATGGGGCCAGGTAGCGTGGCGGGGTTGTATGTGTGGCCCACCCCCTCCTGCCTTCCTTCCCTAGGTCAGTTGGCCTCCTCAAACGATTGCCGCGATCTAAACTCAACCGGGTTTATACGTGCGGCTTATATCCGCGTACTGCTATGACACCTAGTCAAGCATGACGTAAGCCGCCTTATTAGCGCCTAAGGGATTCCAGTCGTATCCGCCTACGTATTCCCAAAAAAAAGTCGATCGGTTTGCGCACCTGACGGATAGGACCCAGGTGGTTGGCGGTTAGGATCTCCAACACGCACGTAGCGAAGAAACCCACCATTGCGATGCGGCCCACGAAAATCTGTTTACAAAGTACGTCAAGACATATCGGGAGCGTGGTATTGGAGTTAAAAAACGTGAGATCACCATTGTGGAAGCCTTGTTCTTGTTCTGCTGTGTTGATGGACGGCGAATCACCTCTTAGGGAGGCTAGAGCTGCTGTCGAATCCAACACCAGAAACTGCATGCACCGGTACTACCAATCAGTACTATTACTATTACTGCCGAACTACGGCTACTTTGCCGCTCCTCCTTATCCTCCGTCGTCGTCGTTGCCGTTGTACAGTCCCGTACGCCGTACGCACCTCCCGGCGGCGAGTGAAGGCGGGCATCCATAGAGGAACCTTTACCGCGGCCGCCGAGTAGCCCTTGCCCGCGCTGCTCCTCTCCACAGTCTCCACAGCCCGCGTGACGTCCTGTCGAGCGGGGCGGGAATGTCGGCGCGTGGAGAATCGAGCGGGAGGCAGGGACGATTTCCGTTGATGTGTGTGTGAGCTCGCGTTGGGCTCGCATTTGGTCGTGTGTAGGACCGGGCTGTAGGTCCCGCAGGCGGTCCCCGGTCCCCAAACATATCACAGCGCCATAGCATCGAGTACGGGGTTACATTTTTGTGGAATAAAAAATTCCAGATCCGATTTAATCTGACCCGAGGACTGCACTCAACAATTCACAATGCAGCGAAGGCCTGAGAGTGCGCTGTGCGGCATTTGTGCGTGGAGGGGAGGGGAGATGCGGCACACTCGGCGAGACCAGCCAGCGGCGGAGAGGAAGGGAGAGGCAAAACTCTTATAATAAAACAGGCCATCCGAAGGCATGGCGGCGCGGTGACTGTACCCTGCTCCGTATTTTCCTCGGCCTGTCCGCCTTGGGTTTGGGAAGTCGCGGTCGGTTTCGTTTCGACCTCGCTGCCCCCTGCTGCCCCCTGCTGTTTGGATCGGGCTCGTCTGGTGGCAGGTCAGGACCCACCTGTAGTTGGTGGGGTTGGTGCAGGAACTACCCCACACCAGGAAAACCCCACCAGATGATGAGATCATCATGGCATCATCGTGCCATCATAGCATCATCGTGCCATCATGGCATCATCGTGCCATCATGGCATCATGGCACGCAGCACAGCACAGCACCGCACAGGGCCGGCCGGGCCCAGCAGCAGCAGCAGCAGCAGCAGCAGCAGCGGCGGCGGCGGCGGCGGCGTCAATCCCAAGCCCGGCAACAACAAGCATCAAGGGCGACAACACACACATGGACAGCCCACTTGTCCATATGGGGTTGGCGCTGCGGCTGTGTGTCGGTTTGCTAGGTGCATCATCGCACCTAGATGACAAAGGACATCGACACGCCCGACAGCAGCAACGCGCACTTCAGGACGCATATCCCTTAACGCAAAATTTGAATCTCTCAAAACATCTCTCGTTGCTATGGGAATGGGACGCCAGTATGGGTGGGTGGGTAGGTGGGTGGGTGGGGGCACACAGCACCTCAAAATTCCTTACGGCAGCATAGGCAGCAACAGGACAACGGCTACAAGCTTCTGTAACTGCAGTACCGTTCCCTGCAGAACAAGAACAGCCGTTTTGAATGGTACAGCGGTGTACGTCCTGGGGAAAACATAACCAGGCACCCACGTTCCCCCCCCCCCAACCCACACACACGCAGCCCCCACACCCACGCAAGACACCCCACACAGGAAGGGTCGAAGAGACTTGCAGGTTTACGTTAATAATTTAAGTGGCTACTAAAATTCGCTTCCTGGTGCGATATGAAAATGACTAACTCAATCCGGAAACCAGCGCACGCACGAGTGGCCCCACCAGTACCCATTCACCCAGTCCCACCCCCGACTCCTAACCCCCCATCCACACGCTTCTCACCCTCTTCAGCTCATCCTTAGCAGACCCGGCGGCCTTGCCCGCATTCTCGGCCGCCTGTTGAGCCAGGACCCCTCCCACACGGGAGCGGGGTGGGGTGAGGCGGGGTGAGACAGGGCCCAGGATAGAACAGCCGAACCGATCAGCAGCAACAACAGTACCAGCAACAGTAGCAGCAACAGTAGCACCAGCAAAAAGAGCAGATGCAGATGCAGGCGAGATGCAAGTTCCTAAAGTTCCCGATTACTCAATGCATCGCGTTGTGCACAAGCACCAATGTAAAAGCGACAGATAGATGAACAGATAGATGGATAGATGGACCTGTTCATCTATCTACGTGTTATTACCTGCTGGATGAGTTCTTCCTGCTTGCGGATCACTTGCTCCCGCTCCTTTCGCTTCTGGATATCCGCCTCCAAGTCGTCATTTTCCTAGGGGGAAAGGGAGGATGCCGAAAGCGCGACACAGGAGGACAAAAGCAATAACCCGGGAGCGGGCGCGCGTCGTTAGGATGGGAGTGGAGAGGGTGGAGAAACCCACGTACATACAGACGCGCATCCAGTGAAGAGTGCCTGTTCTTGTTGTTGTTGTTGTTGTTGTTGTTGTTGTTGTTGTTGTTGTTGTTGTTGTTGTTGTTGTTGTTGTTGTTGTTGTTGTTGTTGTTGCTGCTGTCGTTAGGTAGCGACCCACATCGTCGCGACCACATCGCGACCTCTTCGTGTAGCGCATGGGTCGTTACATTTCCGTAACTGAGGCCGTGGTCATGAATTGCATCACGTCATAGTGGATTGGAGTTTACGACGCGATGTCGATTGCGGGACATGGCGTTACGGAGCTGCCTTGCGATCGATCATCACTATAGGATGGCTGCAAGAATGAAGGGACCTTCATTTCCATCACCACAGGAGATGGTGGGCAAAGTGGGGCCCCAGGGAAAAGCACTCGTTCGCTTTCCTTTAGACACAGGGCGACTGACCTTGAAGCGTCGCACGACGGCACAGCGACGCAGAAGCCAAGGCGCGGCACACGGCGTACGAGGATTGTTGATACTGTTGCCAATAGGCTTTGCTGTTGCCAGCTGAGATTGTGGCTTGACACCGGGAACGAGCTGCGTGAAAGCCATCTCGTCGGGATACGCGGCTGTGTATCTATCTGCTGACCGTCAACTTCGAAAGGGCTATCCGCAAAAAATAAACCCAACCTTCGTTCCGTGTGTTCCGACTTGCCAAAAAAATTTGGAAACAAAACTGGATCTTTAAAACCTTATCCTTCCTCTGCCTTAAATGTAACCGGCTTTTGGGGCCTGTCCTTTGTAATGGGCAAGAGGGTTGTCGTACTCCGCAAGCGATGGCGTCACTGCGCCTCGGGCTTCTGTCACAACTGCACGCGGCGGCCATCTTATCATAAGGCGCAAGGGGCACCGAAAGGAAGCGTAACTGCTGGCGTGCCTTGCATAGTCAACGATTCGAGATCAACTGCAAAACTCGTACTAATCTTTGCTGAGGTAAGTTTCCTTCCCGACTGTGTCGTCATAGCACAGGGCTTACTGTGTGTGGTAGAAGACAGTCACAGAACAGAGCCTCGAACATCTTGTAGAAACTGCTGCCATCATGTACCCTCCGTTTCCATCCGTTACCAGGACCGCCGAGAATGGTTTCGTACGCACAAGGTGCTCGGAAGCGAAACGCGCGTGGTCATCATGCCTTTGACGAACTGGGCTAAGCTTAATTTCCGCGGCGAGCGCGTCAGCGCTGGAAGCGGAATGGCACGCAGCAGAGACCGAAAGGTTGCAACTCGCGTCAGCGCGCAAAGTCTAAGCATTGTCTGACGAACCCAGGGGTCACACCGTGAGTTCCTTACCCATGGGGCCACCACGTTCATCGCCTCACCACGCATCCCCGCGTTAGGACGAGCTCCACTTGTAACAACAACGCCGTAACTACACCGCGTGCGTGGTGAGGCGACGAACGCGGTGGCATCTTGGTTAGACAATACAACCCACGTCCTAATGAGCGCCAACAGCGCAACACTGTGGGCCTTACGCGGCCAATCCAAAAGCCTACTCATTGCCTCACTTCATGGCCTCACCGCCTCATGCAGCCTCAGCTAGCACACAGCGAAGACAGCCCTACCATGCCCTGCCCTGCCCTCCCCTGCCATGCATGCATGCACAGGAGTAGGTCATCTGATCGGAAAAAGCGACCAGTTGCGACACTAGTTACGAAGGTGGAGCATAACAGATCCATTCATGTGGCCAAATCGTAAGGTTAATAGTGCTAAAGTCGTGTCCTTCCTTTCTGTTCGTTCCGAGAGCTCTTTCGTTCCCCTCGCGTCCACGTGTCCACCACAGCCACATATATATATGTGTGTATGTATGCTGCAAAGGTGCTTCACGGATCTGTGTGAAAGATGGATCGAGGCGGCATACCCAATAGGTGTCGAGCGGCGCCTCGCTGTATCGTCTCCCTGCTGTCTCCCCAACAAGCAGCGCAAAAAATGTCGCCATAGCTAGCAGCCGCCAGTCGTGATTAGTCACCAGTCAGTAACGCCCCACATTCCTGTTGCATGACCCAGCACCACATGAAGCTGCATTCTCCTCTCCGGGAAAAGCTACTGACCCGTGGTTCAGAGTCATCGCTGCAATGAGGCTGTGGATGTACTGACTAGAGGTTCAGGTTGGGGAGGAGAATACGAGGAAGATGAGGGGGATGGGAAAGCAACGCCGTGTGTGAGCCTTGTCCGAAACGTGCACACGATTCCCCGCAGGAAATTGCCACGCCCACCCACCCAAAGTCAGTGGGTCAGCACCATGACGACAAAACAGATGGCAGCCGCGGAGCCGCGGTTTGGGCGCAATGCAGTGCAGGATTGCGAAGCGGCCGTCGCACAGCCAAAAATGCAGCTACCCCAATACAGCAGCAGCAAACAGCAACAGCAGCAGGAAGCCGCAACAGCAGCGGGAAGCAGTGGCAGAGAAACCCATTGGACTTCAACCCGTCGTGTGCAATGTCACGCCTTAATGTCACGTTTGTCCGCTACTTGCAAAGCAAACACACGACAAGAGTGATGTCAACAGCACGACCCCTAGTGTGCTCCCTCGTATCGGCAATGCCTCTTTCCCCCCCAGATGAGAGCCAAGTGAATCTAGCCCTCCCGCCCACTTGATCTGTCGGACACACGAGATCACCTGTTAAAACACAGCCACGGCACACGTACGACACATTGGTCCTCGTCCACAGTCACACACAAACACACCCGAGGCGAATCAAGAACAATCGTTCGGTAAACCTACCTGTTTGGATTCGATTGAGTACCGGCCTTTAACCTTTGATTAATAGAGAGGGTCACAGCTGCGCCGCAGCTGCGGCAGCCAACTAAAACCAACCCTCCTCACCATCTGTGCCGTCGCAACCCTAAATGCCCCTTCTTCACCGCACACACCAACTACCGCAACGGCCGCCATAACCACTCTGTCTCTAATGATTAGCTTGTTACAAAAGCCAGAGATAGTAGATACCTCGTGGCGCTCCTAGGACGCCTCCCCTGCCAACCCCTTCACAGGCTCTCACCCCATATCAGTTATGCAAAGACTGCAGCATTCCCTGACCAAAGGTCCCCCGCACTCCTGCCATGCTCCAAACCAGCGGCATCCTCAAACAGTCCAAAACGTATTATGCCCTGCTAGTGTGTGCTTGACTCGAAGGATGCACATGTGCACTGGTTAACGGTGCATGCATATGTGCGCCTGTGTAGTAGTGCTAAAGTTTGATACTGTTTCACGATGTTGGGCCCCAACAACGCCAACAGGACATTGCCTCCAACAAGCCCCTCAGCATGCAGCTGGCTCAACCTGCCTGACAATCTTGTTCCACTTCCCAGCTTGCCTCTATCTCTGCATGCCAGGCCCGACGGAACCCACGGGACGCTGACTCGCCGACTGCTTCGGCTTCGGCCCAGAATAATCTAAGACAGTGAGAAAACCCAAATTCTGAAACCTTATAGATATATTATGTATGTGTAAATGTAGGTATTGATACATCCACACGCAACACAAACTATCTGGTGCACAGCTGCACCCACACCGCGCCTTCGGCCCGGAGCTCAGCACCCCGCCTTGCTGCCCTGCCCCTGCCCCTGCCCTGCCCCTGCTGCATTCCAGGGTGGTGGTGTGCGCCGGCTTAGGGGCACACCCGAGCTGTTTCGAGTTCTAAGAAAGGCAGCTACGGCCTCACAGCCTCACGAACACACCGTCCAAAGGTGACCGGCGATGAAACATTCCTCTGACCACCTACGACACCCCCATTACCCAATCAGTTTTAATCTAGAACATGAAGCAATAGCCGTCGCAGCAGCAAGAGCAACTGCCAGCAGCACCTGCAGCACTCAGCAATTAAGCCAACCAAGGCCCCACTCGCTAAAACAACGGCATCACCTTTCCGTCTGCGGCACTCGTCAAATCTCAACACCACCAACGAAAGCACATCCCGCAACTTAGCTTCAAGAAAAAAACCCAAACGAACCCTTAACTCTCTCCCTTACCCTTACTCTCCGCAAGGGCAATGTGAGTAAGACCGCCAGGCGGGCCCTAACATGACCACAAAGCTATAAAACACGAATGCCCGGGAGAAGCACATTCGCTGGAAGCGGGTCGACACATCCCCTTGTCCACCCAAGGTATACCTCCCTCAGTGTTGCTACTTTGCCCTTTGCTGCCGCTTTATCATAATGCACAAGATTCAAATAACAGCCGGCCAGCCAGCCAGCATGCATGCATGCATGCACGTCGTCACCGTCGCCCTAATTGGGGGAAGGTGGCACAGGCCCTCCACGTGTGAGCCCCTCCTCTGAGGGTACTCTCACGCAGCTACTGTCTACTGCCCGACCTCCTAAGCCCCACTCCTACGCTCCGCTGCAGCGTTTGACAGCGCGCGTTTTCGAGCTAAGAAAAAGGGGTCTATAACTAGCCATGACGCTTCACCGCACGAATCGGGTTCGTCCGCCGCAGGACAGCAACAAGGCGAAGAAAGACCGCAACGAGGCTATCGCTCCACGTGCACCAGCTCTTTTTAATCATCACTGCCAAGCCAAGGAAGTGTGGTGTTTATCTATTCATATAATAAACGGTCTAGGCAGCACATGAACCCGCGTGCCTAAAACCCACACAGCTGGAACGCCGTACACCCGCATCCGCACGCACCACACAGCGCCATCCGACAGACGCCCCATCGGCCGGTGCTTCTGCGATTTATCCAGCAGGCACCGCAGCGGGCAGAACGTGTTCGGCTTCGTGCGCCCTGCCACGGGGGCCCGGCAGGGGCCCACGAGGGGGCGGAAGGGCGCTCGTGGTTCCCTTCTCGAAGCCCTTACCCGGGGCAGGGACCTGTGCTCGAGGGGCTCGAGGCTGCCTGTGAGCCGTTAGCTGGAACCACACGGTAAGCCGCACCCCCACGAGATGCGCGCTGGGTGCTTGCTCCCGGCGAGCGGGCGCCTGCATTTCTTCTGCCATTTCGCATCATGACATGGCCACACCACGGCGCGGTGCTTGGGGCCCAGCAATCGTGGACACTATCCAGGAAAACTCCTGAAAGCGAATGACCCCGGATTGGATTAAGTAAGGAGAGCGGCGAAGCCCGAATCCGAGCAGCAGCAGCAGCCGCTTTGCCAAGGCCGCCTCGCGTCAGCTGATGACAGCTCAGACCTCCCGGTCGGCGTTACTGCTACTCGCCCTGGCGCCGTACCACAGCCAGCACCCCGCCTGCGTTGAACGCCCGTTGCCAGGATGCGGTATGAGTGCTATCGCTTCTCGCCCTGCCGCCAACGAGGGTGAACGCGGGATAGTAAAACGAAGAATTTCCCCTGATAAATTAGACTGGAAAGAGGTCATATTCTGTAGACTAGCTCTGCTTAATTCTCAGATGCGGGATGTCAAAATAGCGACTTCCGGGCTGTTGGCTCCCATGCTCACCACCAAAGGCAGTATATCCTTGTCTAGCCGACGGCCGCGGCAGGGAAGTAATCGAGACAACGCAGCGTCTACGGCTCTCAGCTCAGGCAGCACAAAACTGAGCCATAGATCAACCACCAACCAGGTCCTATGATAACGATTAGTGCCCTCCCTCTGGCTCCACCTCCGCCGCCTCACCTGCCGCTGCATCAGCTACCACCCGCATCGGCAGGCGCCGCCGTCCCTGTCCCTGTCCCGGCCGCAGGCTGCGGCATCGCCGCTCCCTCTCCTGGCCCTGGCCTTGCAGCAAATTCACGCGTCTGCGACGCAGGAGCTGGGCACCTGGCCCCCTCTGCCCCCTCCTGCTTCAGCTCGGGACACTTTATCACCAAGCCTGCTAGCGGGGCCAAGCTAGCCGCAAATGCGGCCGTCAAGCGGTGGCACCCATGCTCGTGCGACGGTGCAGATGCATGACGCGGCCGGCGCTCCTCATCGCCACTCCCTCCAGCGCGCCGAGAGCCATTGGAACTGAAATGCAGACCAGGTAACCACTCTTGCTGCGGCTGCTGTTGCTGCTGCCACTGGCCCTCATGATGTTGGGACGCCTGTTGCTGTTGTTGCGGCGGAGGCGGCAGCGACGGCTGCAACCCAGACGGCGTCCGGTATGCAGGGCGCACAAAGTGCAACATCTCCATCATCCTCAGCCGAAGCCGCTCCTGGTGCTCCCGAACCTGCTGCTGCAGCCGGCGCTGCAACGTCACATTGCACAAGGGGGTGAGGAACTCCGCCAAGATGCGGTCGCCAACCTCCGGCGGCGCGGATCGCATCAGTGCAGCTGCAGCACCAAGCGCGCCCGCACCCGCCGTCGGCAATGCCGTGGACATTTCCGCGGAAGCAGATGCTGATAGATTCCGTGCAGCCGCCACGATCTGCAGCGCGACCTGTTGCGCCTGCTCAAGGCTTATTGTTGGCGGGGGACTCGTACTGTTAGGAGCGGGTGCTGCTTGCGCCATTGGTACCGCCATTGGTACCGCCGGCTGCGGCTGCGGCACCGCTCCCGAGCTATGGCACTGAGTCCCTGAGCCGGGGCTTGCCTGCCACGAATCGCCATTGGTTCCGACCGATCCAAGGGTTGATGCGGCCTGGGAGACACGCTCCAGAAGCTCCACGACAACGCTGCTGGGCTGCGGCCAGGCGCGCTTTTGCATTAACCATGGCTCTGGCGCCCAGGCTTGCGAGTCAGTGGTGCGCTGCAGCGGCACCGTTGATGCTTGGATCGGTACGGACTGTCCAGGAGATTGGGACTCTTCGCCACGTGTGTGAAGCTGGGGCTGCGGAGGGCAGTTTCTGCTGGAGCTGGTTCTGTGGAGGCTGTGCGCGTTGGTGCCATTGGGAGACGGCGGGGTACCGGTGCACGTGTTTAGCGGAGCACCAGCTGTGCTACCCGTGGGGTGCGGGTGCGCGTGTGGGTGCTCCTGACCGCCTTGCAAGGACACGGGTGAGAGGGAGTGCAGTAATGTCGTTACGGCAAAAGGGCTGGCGCTGCTGTTACTGGTGCTGCTCTGCTGCGCCTCCGCCACACCGCGCGGCTGCAACTGATGCGGGTCGCCTTCCCTGGAGACAGAAGGTGGCTCAACCCAAGGCCGGGTTGCTGAAGCGGAGGTTCCCGAAGGCGGCGGCGTGGATGCAGCCAAAGACGGTATCTCCGACGTGGACACCGGCACACGCTGCGACCTCGACCAAGACGTACCTCTGTTGCTAGACGAGCCGGGCCTACTACCACCGAGACACTGAAATCGACTCATTAAGCGCGGCAGGAACCTCCGCAGCGATCGCGAACAGTGTCTCCCGGTGCTAGCAACTACCGCCGTCGCCGCCCCTGCCGTCGCCGCCCCTGCCGAAGCCACAGCCGACGCTGAAACCGCCGCCTCAAGCACAGGAGAGGAGCTGCGCACGTTGGGCCTGCCAAGCATGGAATGCGTCGCAGGTCTGACAGTGTTGCCTCGGCTACTACGGCTAAAGGTGCCGCTGCTGCTGGAGCTGCTACTGCCAGCCCGTGCCACGCCCACGGAAGGTGGATTGCTCGCCAGAATCCGCGGCGGCGACGCAGGTCGGGCCCCAGCGCCCATTGCCCCCTCGCCGGAACCAACGACATCACCGCTGGTTGGGCCGCCGCTCGCCGGAAGCGCTTCCCCGTCAGCAAGCACAGCATTGTCGACGCAGCCTTCAGAGTCATTGTCGACGGGACCTTCATATCCCGCTCCGGAAGACCCTTTAGGGCTGTCCTCGCAAGCTGTCTCCATAGATTCCGTAGTCGATTCGCACGGCGACCGCGACGCCAGGGCGTTCGCGTCCGCAACGCTGCCGCTAGGCAGCCTCCCAGCCGCCGCGTCAGCAACGGCGGCTGCGACAACACCGCCGCTGCGGACATTCCCGCCCGAGCTGGCGCGCTCGTGCGCTCCTCCCTCCAGGTCCGCAGATTCGCTGCAGGTGGACAGCTCGGCCTGCAGCTCGCCGAGGTACGGCAGGACCTCTTGCAGGCCTTGTGCCGTACCTAGGTCCAGTGCTGCCGTACCGGTGGCGAGGCAGAGCAGTGCGTGTTCGTTGAGGTGGGTATTACCCGCGCGGAAGGCGTAGTGGGCGGGCGTGCAGCCGTCGCAGGCAGACTCGTCGAACCACGTGGATAAGGTTTCGGCTGGGAGAGTGGACAGAAGGTCCATGGCGGCAATTGCGGGCTTGGGCAGCACTGCGGCTAGGTGTAACGGAGTAAGGCCGCCTGGTCCCGGCTGATGGGCGGGCGCGGTAATGGACAGGAGTCATAAATATGTGGGGAAGGAAGGGGAGGAGAGGCGGACGCGGAGGAGTAAGCGCATATGAAGGAAAGGGTAGGGGTGCGCTAAGGGGCCTGGGGCCGAATGGACGTCCCAGAGAGACAGGCGAGGTGCAGAGAAAAAATGGGAAGACAGGCAAGTAGTAAGTATGAATCAAATTAGTGGATGTTCCTGCCGAAAGCAGATGAGGCGCTCCCTAGAAACCTGTATGGGCCTGTACGGCAAAAGCCCACGGTGGCCCGCGCACGGGCCTGGACTCACCGCCGCCAGCATCGCTCGCCATTCCTCCTGTACAGCAGCGCCGTCGCCGTACCGGCCGTAGCTGCGCCACAGTGCCGTCATGGCCACCAGTTCCGCACTGCCAGACGCCACTGCCAAATGCAATGCCGACCAGCCGTGAGCCCCCTGTACGGAAGCGTTGATGGCGTGCATGGAAAAACCCATATCCATAAGGCCCAGCACAATGTGGGTCGAAGTCGCGGCCCAACCGCGGCTGCACGCAAAGCCTAGCAGCTCCAACGCGGTTTGCGGCATGGGCTGCTGCGCGTTCGCTACAGTCGTCAACTGCTCCCCAGTTCTCGGCGGCGCCACCCAGGTCTCCAAGCCGAGCCCGGGCGCCACTCGCGTGATGCCAGCATTGTGCGGCGCCCCGCCGAGGGCCTCAATCTCCGATACGGGCAGCAAGTCCCCCAGGACACGGCGTTGTTGAGCCTGGGGGTGCTGCGCCGAGTGCTGTCTCTGCTGCTGCTGCTGCGACAGACGCTGCTGGGCCTGGTCGCTTCCGCGGACCGCCCTGCCGGGCGCCTGCCGCAAAGAAGCCGCAGACCTCGCAGCGTTCGCAGCAGCGACCCCGGCGATGCCGTCTGTCGGGCCTGTCGCCACCGCCTCTCGCGCCGCCGCTCTCCTTCCTGTCAACTCCAGCCAGGCACCGAGGTCCCAGAGGAACCGTTCCCTCGCACGCGCGTCGTCTTTGTCTTCCTTATCCAGTTTCGCCAGCAACCCACCTACCGCTCCTTCGTCATTACCGGCGAAACCCAGATTGCCCACTGTGACAGCAGCGACGGTGGACTCGATACCAACACTTGGCTGTGCCGACGCGTACACACGACTCGGACCCATATCCAATGGGACACCTGCAAAAGGCTGGCCCTGTTGCTGCTGCTGCCGCTGCAAACTTTGCAGCGACTGCGGTATTGGCGGATTTTCGCCCAGGGACTCCTCTGGGCACACAGGAAGCGGCAGCTGCTGGTGCTGCATCGCCAGCAGCGCGCACACCTCGCCTTCCATGCCAGCGTCGGGCACCACGACCACCGTCAGCGCGCCGCTGCTGCACATGACACCCCGCCAACCCATGGCCCCAAACAACCGGCGTTCCTGTCCGCCCTGTTGCACGGGGCCAGGCGCACTGAGGCCAAACACGCGGGCGCGGTTCAGCGACGCCGTTAGGGCCGCGGGCTGCCGCCCGCCTGCCCCAGCTTCACCAGTCAGCCTGTCGCTGCCGTCAGCATTATTGGAGCCCGCCGCTGCAGCCGCCGCCGCGGCCGGGCCAATCGCCTGTGCGCTGCCTGTGCCGACGTTGATGGTCGGCGCCAAGCACTCTGCCGCGGCCATGGCTGCGGCGGCTTCTCGCAATCCTCTCATGGGCCAGGCAGGTCCAACGCCGGAAGCTGCAATGCCGTGGGTGCGCCAGGCAGACTCCAGCGCTCCAGTGGATGCCGCGATGCGGTGCGGTGCGGCGGAACCAGAACTTCTCGTGGAATTGCCGTCGCCTAGGCCATCGCCGGCAGCGCTAACGAAGGATGGCGGCGCGTGCAGCTCAATGAGCATAAGGCCCGGAGAGGCACCTGGGATGACCCAGATGAGAACGAGCTCGCTATCAGGGCGATGAGCGGACAACACCTGGTTGACCTGGTCTGTGCTAGCTTGGCGCCGCCAGGCAGCGATGGCTTGCATTGCGGCCCGAGAACTGCCAGGTAAGCGGCTAGGCTGGTCTGTGTCGTCGCCGGTTGCTTGGCGGTCGTTGAGGAAGTCGAGGCGGACGGGCAGTTTGACGCCATCCTTGACAGCGGTTACCTGGCATTCCGACGGGGCTACATTGAGCGTGACCTCAGCTGCTATGCAAACCTCCTCAGTCGTCGTGCGGATGCATCGAGGAAACAGACGCCATAGGAGGGGGCCAAGAGGGCGGGGCGGACGCCTCGTGTCTGCGTCCACGGCCGTCGGCTGCTGCTGACCGATAGCGGTATCTTGCAGCTCAGGAAAAATAGCCCCAATATGCTCTGAAACCGTTTCGCCGAGTATGCGCACATGGTCCTCTAGAGCCCCGGCATCCCGCGTGTGCACGGCTGTTGCTACGGAAGTGTTTTCTGCCGCCGTTAAAGCTTCAGCCGATTCAATATCATCGGAGCTTAAGAATACTGAGGAGCTATCGTCATGCCCTGTCTGAAAGCTGGTGTCCGGGTTGTTGCGTCTGGCTTGCGGCAGAGCCGGCTCAAAAGCTGGCAACTGCGGCTCTGGTGGCACCATGAGTTATGACCAGTCAATAGCCCAGGCAAACCGGGGCTTCAAAGGTGCCATGGCACTAGCCCGAAACAAGCCGCAAGAAACCTTCCTCCCAAAAGCACATTTCTCCCATGCAGCAGCAACATCCACAAATCACCGTTTCAAAATACGCAGATCCTTTCCCTGGAATGAAAAAACTTGTTGTTGGTCAAAAAGTACCCTTGGTTCAGTTCTGTAACTAAGAACTTAATATTCACCAAATAAACTATTCTCGAAATACTTGACGGTTTGGAGAATGTAGGCGTGAAGGTCAGGCAGGGTCAGCATTAATCGTGGTACAGCGTTGGGTACGGTACATTACCCAAGATAACGAAAACAATAATGTGAAGAGTCTTTGTTGGTACGTTACATCTACAAGCTCCGTGCTGTTTTCAAATATGTCTGGCCATGTTGGACCAGCCGCAGCGGCGTGCTTTGTTGCGCACTGTCTAGGTTCCGCAGAGCAGCCAACCACTAGCACTTCTGGCCAAGTGCAGCTGGCAGCAGGCAATGGTTCGGTGATCAGCGGTCTCGCGACAGTTTGCACCCATCTTGTTCGACAGTCATCTGGGAAACACAGCTTGCTTGGGCCGACGCCTGAAATGCAAGCACAGGTGAGGACAAGGACAGTCGTATAAAAAAACTCTAGGCACGAGCAGCCAAAAGGCGCCGCGATCTCACGAGGGCTATGCAAGGGTGCTGATCTGCCCTGCGCCGCCATGTTCGTGCAGGTGACAGCATGGCTGACGTGGGCAACCATCGAACTGACGCCACTCATGGATGATAAACTACTAAAGGTGCGGACGATGCAATCAGTCCCTCCCTGCGAGGGCCGACAGAGCCTTAGCTAACTTTCGAACGCTATCTCGCAGCTGGACCAGCATCTCACCTCGTGCACCTACTTGGTGGGAGGCTCTGCAACGTTGGCTGACCTCGTCATTTATGGTTTGGTGCATCCCGCCGTGGTAGGCCGCTTCGTGTACCTTCGGGTGGGCCGCAGTGAGCCAGGACGGGGTGGTTGGTGTTGATTCTGAACGTACCAAGACTCCTAACGTTTTGGGCACGAGTTTCAGCCCTCCGCTTGGCATCAGGATAGGTTCCTGCCATAAAAATGCGATAAGGTTTTCTGGGGCGACGCGGAAGAGGATTTTGGTCGGACAAGCAGGGCCTGGCTTTTCGTTATTGGGGTTTGTATCCTCCCACCGCAACAATGGACTTTCCAACAACGACAACGAGATGCTCGGTCGCGGCGTCGACTATCCTTCGATCCTGATCTGGGTCACTGCGATATCCTGCGCCCAGGGCACGCATGCACTGTCATTTCCTTGCAGTCTCTTGCATTGGACCCACACCACCCTGCGCCCCTGCGTTGACATCCACAGACTAGCTTTCCCGCGGCGCAAACACTCCATTTCTGCAACTTACTACGGTGGTACGACTTGCTGCAAAACACTGTCGACACGAATGGCTTCTTCCAACCACGGTTGAGCCTCAAGAAGCCGCACTACGTCGCGCCACCGCCCCCCGCACCCCCTGCCCCCAAGGTACAATTCCTGGACGGTGGCAGCCTTAGAATCATGGCTCTTAGCGTCTGCTGTCGTGCTGGGTCCGTTTGCATAACATGCTGACGCTCAGCGATTTTCTTGATGATGTGGTCTGGGTCCTGTTCTCGTACAGGTTCAATGTTTGTTGTTATGGCGAAGACATTTAGCATGACGCTAGAACCACAAGAAATGAATATGCAGCCTCACGATATGCTTGCATGGCATAGCTTTGTACACCAGGCAGCTCCTTATTAACCTTATTGGCGAAATGGAAGTGACCGACCTCGTATCCGCGCTGCAATGCTGCAGGCCGCGCCGCCAGCGGCAGCTCCGGCCGCAGCTGCACCAGCCAAGGGCGCCCCTGCTGAGGCTACGAAGGTGGTTGCGGCGCCAGCAAAAGTGAGGGGTTAGAAGGGGTTACTTGTAGCGATTGCGCTTGTGCCATATTGTGCTGTTGTGGGTTAGAGACCGGCAGTTACACCAATTCGTTTTTTGGTATGGCCCTTGGAATGATCGCTTGTGTGTGGCATACCGCAGGGTGCTAAAGCTGAGGCGGCCGCTGGTCCAGCTGCTGCTGCTGCTACCGCGGCAGCAGCTGCCGATTGCAAACCAGCGGCTTCTGCGGACAAGGAGGCGAAGGGCGCAGGCAAGAAGGATGGAGGAAAAGAGGCCAAGAGCGCAGGAGGGAAAGGCGCTGCAGCCGCCGCACCGGCCATCGCATCTTCAAAGGCCGGCGAGGAGGAGGCCACCATCGACATGCTGGACTGCCGAGTGGGGCGGATTATTAAGGTGGACAAGCATCCCAACGCGGATGCGCTGTATTTGGAGGAGGTGAGGTCCTGCACCGGACTTGCGGACGGCAGGCTGAAGGTTTCCGCCGTGACATAGGTGTGAAGTATTAGCTGTGAATGTGATGGATAAGCCGTCCGCAGGCTGCGAACAGCTTTGACTGCGATGCTCCAATGTCCTGCAGCTTGATGTTGTTGCTTGTGGGTGAAAACGCCTAAGCCCCTTGTTCTGATGATATGTACGGTACCTTGTCATAGTCATTGGGGCAGGGTGCGCGAATGGTAACCATACGTATGGCCCGGCTCCGACGCGCTTGAGTGACACATCGGTTCGCTCCACCGGGTCGGGTATCACTGGCTGCAATACGTTGTACATGCGTCCATGACCTCGGCTTGAAGCTGTGCTACATGGTCTGTCGTGGTCCTAACATGATGTCACCGCAGATTGACGTGGGAGAGGAAAAGCCCCGTCAGGTGATCTCTGGCCTTCGCAATTTCGTACCGCTGGAGCAGATGCAGGTGTGCGCGTGCGCGCGTGTGTGTGTGTGTGTGTCTGTTTGCGGTGGGCATCTGCTAGAGAAGATTGAGAAGCCCATATCGTCTATATCTTAAACTCTCGTCTTAGGCGACAAAGTTGCCCTCGAGACTCTGCTGAACTATACGAATTACTCCTTTTCGCCTCACAGGACCGTGTCGTGGTGGTGGTGTGCAACCTCAAGCCTGCCAAGATGCGCGACATCATGAGCTACGGCATGGTGCGTGAGCAGGGCTTGGGTGGGGAAGGAAGAGGAAGGTTGCCTGGAAGGTGCGGAATGGTGAATATTAGAGCGTCATGAATGACGTGCTTTCATTGCACCCCATGGCTTTATTCCCACTGCAAAACACACACTCTCACTGTCACGTAATGGACTCTTGATGAAAAACTCAAACCGAAGCCGGGAAGGGCGATGATAATTATGTCTGAGAATACCTGAAGTCCTGGTATTATTTCTGATATGTTGGGCCTGCAATTTTTGATGTGCCCGCCGTTTACGTTGTTTACTCGCACCTTCAGTACTCTTAGAATGCTCCGTTATGCCGTGTCCCGATGTAGTCCCGTAGTCTCCGATCCGTCGGTCCTGCTACGGCCATCACATATATATGTACATATGTAAAAACCTCTGTACGTGTGTCTTGACTGAATGTGGTCTCTATTTGCCGGTCGTGGCATGGCCTTGCGTTCCGTGTTATAATTTGTAGGCGCCATTTTGCTTGACCGAACCAATGACGAACTTTACCACACCTTTGACGCCCAAACGGGCGGTGATCTGTAAAGTTTGAGAATATCTGAGGTTCTTAATGCAAGGCGCTTTGTTTTCCTGTTGTTGCCAGTTTCATCCCAAACCCTACTTTGTGCAAGGCTGTTCATTCCGCTCATGCCAACATCCGTTGCGTCACCTCAACACCCCAGTGGATTCCCTCCCGCTCTCACACCCCTCACGCCACCCAGGTGTTGTGCGCCTCGGACGATGCTCATGGCAAGGTGGAGCCCGTCATTGTGCCGGAAGGAGTGCCCATTGGCGAGCGGCTCACAGTGGAGGGGTAAGCCAACACACGTAATCGCTGTTAGCGGTGGCATGCATATATATAATGTGTTATGATACTGGCATCTTCCTCGGCGGTGAGAGCATTTTCGCAGGAGTAGCCACGTCTGGCTAACGTCCGTGCCTGTTCTCGGTCTGGCTGGCTGCGGCTCACTGTGTTGCAATCTCGTGCAATGCAGGTACTTGGGCAGCCCACCGGAAGAGATCAACCCGAAGAAGAAGATTCTGGAGCGGCTCTTCCCGGACATGAAGACCGACGAGGGTGAGATCTGTGTGGTTGTGACACTGCCCTGTGTATATGAAAATTTGGCCACGTTTGATGTTTTTTTGCCAAAGGGTTTGCAGGTGCTGATTCCCTGGCTGTGCTGCTGTCCGTGCAGTTTTGCACAGACTTAAAGCGGGCACTGTGTTGCGGATGTTGGCGGAGGTAGAAACCGAGTAGAGCGCAGCAGTTGCGCTTATTCCGATGCTGACTGATGTGATGCCTGTCCGTTTGCCCGTATTGTTACTTCCGTGTTCCCTTTTGATGCAGCCGGGACCCCGGTCTACAAGGGCAAGCCGTTCATGACGAGCAAAGGGCCACTGAGCTCTTCCGTGCAGAGCGGCTGGGTTAAGTGAAAAGTTGTTCGGGTGGGGAAGTGGGGGAGGGCGGCTTTCGGGTTAAATATGCAGCGGTTTTTCAGGGCAGTAGACCTTATTTAGGTTCAACAGATGATCAACCCGCTACAAGGGTCAGAATTAACTGCACATCAGAAGGCACCTCCATCCTTTGTGGCTACAAACAGGATGTGTGCAGAATACAGCTACAGTGGTAAGCAGGACTATTGCATAGCGTTTGGAACGGGGCATTCTGACGACCCTGCTGCTGGTAGTTGGTACTTTGGTCAACCCACTTGTTTGGTCCGAGGTTGCTGAGGGGAGCCCTGGAAACATGTCTTGGTGAACACTAGCATGAAGGGTAAGGCGGCGCAGTAAAGATCTGGTCGCGCAAGGCAACGAAGGGTGGGGCGGGCTTTCCAGTTAGGTAGGGTGTTATGGGCCAATGGAGTTATTGGGTAGTGGTGGCATTTGCCGCCGACATGCAGGCGGAGCGGTACAGTGAATGCGTGCGCGTGCGGGGGAGGAAAAAGGGTGCAGAATGGACAGCTCAGAACTGCTGGTCTAGCACAGATTCGAAAGGCAGGTTGGTGCTTCGAACGTTCGAGCACAAGAGTGTCTCATGACGTCGCAACGTACGCCGGACGCAGTGCGTGTGGACACCGTGTGCTTTGCCACTGGCTGGCAGTTTATTATGTTTATTATTGTTAAGTGTTCTGTTTACGATACACATGTAGTAAATTAATGTGGCGTGATGACACACGCTTCCAAAATTTATTGCCTCGCTCTGGATCGTACATAAAGACCGTGTGGCTTTGTGAATACAAGTTTTGGACGCACAATGCCGACATGACCTACGCGCCCGGTATAGAAAGATCCAGTCATGGATTGCATGTTAATAACGCGGACTCGTAGCCATGGGCTAACTTAACAGATAGAAAATCTTCGCAGAGAGTCATTACACTTCATGTTACTTCTGAGATCTGGTGGAATATTGTCAGCTTTTTTTTATCTTAATGTTCATGTCACACTCTCCTTACACCTCGGGTGCTAGTTATGAAGGAAATGACATTGGCACATGATTTGCCTGTCTGTGTAAAGCGCAGCTGCTGGTGTCATCCGTCCAAACCGAGAGACGCACGACAGGACTTATTGCGACGTTCGCTTTCACCATACATCCCTGCAGTTTCATATCTGCGGCCATCACACCATTCAGCACGTCGCCCACCGCAAACCCAAGAATAAACATCGTTTCCGACAGATACACACAAACACTTCCGGAATCGCTGCTGCACCATATCACACCCGCTGTGACCTCCGTAACGACTGTCGCAGAGCTCTGCATCAGCGCATGGTTCTTACACTGGCGCACGCCATGGAGGTCGCCCAGTAATCGAGAGATAGCAGAGGCAACGTTTTATGACAGAAGTCCTAGGGCTGACAGTGTTGTATTTTCACAGCTCCAGCACGCATCCATGCCACCGCCTGTCGTTCTGTCACCGCCTACACACAATCCTGCTGACAGTCCGAAGGACCCGCTCCAACCCCTCCACTGCCGACAAGAATGGCCGAGCTTACAAGTCCCACAGCCTCTATCGTCTCCACCGCTACTACGTCCCTTGACGCCGTGGCGGTTGTCGCCAGCGCCGCTCCCTGGTAGTTGCAGATCTGTATGGTGGAGTGCTGAATGCCCAGTGTGTTCCGCACGTAGGCCTCCAGCTCGCGCAATACTGCATCCGCATCCGCCCACTCGGCGATATGCACGTGAGCCGTGAGGATGGGGAGGCCCATGGACAGATTCCACACGTGCAGGTCGTGAACGTCAAGAATGCCATCCATCTGTACGGGTGACATGAGGGGTACAACGGCGGTTTGGGTGAGATGTGGCGCGATGGGGTGCGGTAGAGAGCGTGGATTGTGGGCCGTGTGTCATGCGCGATGAAGGAAGGCGGATAACGGGATTTGTTTAGATGACGAGGCAATGCGATGTAGGCAAGGAAGGATGAAAAGCAGCAGCAGCAGCAAGACAGCCCAGCCTGACCCTCTCTAGGTCCCCCACCAGTCCGAACGTCCCTACTCACCCATCCCATTTCCTTTCCCCCTTCCACACAGCCAGCCATACCGTAACCATACACACCCACCCTAGTCATGGCCTCCGTCACGTGTGCCAGGTTGACATGATGCGGGGTACGCTCCATGAGCGTGTGGGTGATGTCGGCGATAATGCTCCGGGTGGTCAGCAGCACCAGAAAGGCGAACACGAAGGTACAGATGGGATCCGCAATCTGAAAGCGAAATTTTTGTCCGGGTCGTCCGGGCGGAGAGATGATCAGGTTAGCTGTGTCCTCCTAATCCGGGTTAGGCGTGTGTGCGACTCAGTGAGACCCACCGTGGGGGGCCGACGTGCAGAGGGAATAATCGTGGTGGTGATGCAAAATGGTGTTGAAATAGATGCCATGTCAACTGGGAAACAAGTCCAGAGTGCTGGCTTAGGACAGCGGAGCCCAAGTAAGCCGGCGCAACCCTCTATTCGCTAAACCACTAGCCACGTAACACCACATGGCGCCGTTTCGTAAACCCAAAGCTTACCTCCACCATGCATGCCCCCCTTGTTTTCCAATCCACGCTACGGCCCCAACCCCACAGCCTTAATGTTCCCGAGGCCTACCCTCGTGTAACCGCACCCGACTTCCATATGGGTTGATTCAACACATCAGGCTAGGATAGGCCTGTCAGCAGCTTTAAAGAGGCGCAAGTGCGTACGACTGCGGGTTGAGCTGCTGTTGCTGCTGCTGCTGGGATGGAGTGTCTTGATCACAACTCCTTGTTACCTGCCAGCGCGGGTCCGCCTGCTTCCACCAGATGAGCAGCCCCGCCACAGCCACTCCGATGCTCTGTAGCAGGTCGCCCAGAACGTGAAGGACCGCGCTGCGCAGGTTGATATTGGAGCCGTGCCCGTGGCTGTGGCCATGCCCGTGATCGTGGCTGTGGCCATGCCCGTGATCGTGGCTGTGGCCATGCCCGTGGTCGTGGCTGTGGCCATGCCCGTGGTCGTGGCTGTGGCCATGCCCGTGCCCATGGCTGTGTCCATGCCCGTGCCCATGGCTGTGAGAATGGCGATGACCGTGACCCTCCGCAGCGCCCCGGACTCGGCTGCCGCCCGCGTGCTGGTCATACTGGTGACCATGGCCATGACCGTGGCTGTGTTTGTGATGGTGGGCATGGTCATCATCGGAACCGCCTTCGTCACTGCTACCAGCTTCGCTGTGACTGTGCGAGTGGGTGACTCCGCCCGCAGCCTGCTCCTGCCCCTCTCCATGTCCATACCCATGTCTGTGATCATGCCCCTGCTGGTGTTGGTGGCCATGGTCGTGATCATGGCCGTTGTCGTCGCCGCTATCAGGGCCCACAGAGCCCGTTGGACCGCACCCACGGACAGCCGTGCAGCACGGTGCGGCTGCTATAGTACCGCCTGAGCCGCTGTTGATTGCCCCCTGCGGCTGCTCCGTCTCGGACTCCAGCGGGCTCCCCGCCGCCAAGGTCCCCAGGACGTTGGCCACGTCCAGCACCAACGGCACACCGTGAGCCCCAGCCTCCCTGGAGGTTTCAAGGCCACACAGGAAAGGTCATGGTGGTGGTAGTGGTGACGGTGAAGGACAAACGAGGGTAGGTGGTGACGGAGGTGACCTCATTTTGTCAATAGCCTTGCGTTCCGCACACAGACACCCATAAGCACTCTAAATAATGTATCGTTTCCCACCCACGGACCCTCCACCCACCCACTACTACCAATCAGCCATGACCACCCACCAACCCAACCACCCACCGAGTCACGGGTGGCAGCTGTGGCCCCGCACACGGTGGTGGTGCTGGTGGTGGTGGTGGTGTTCCCGCCGCTGCGGCCCCGGCATGTGTCGGCAGGGGTAGGGTGATGATGCAGCAGCTCTCACCCGCCGGCGGACCTGGGCTTGTAGGGAGGGAAGGGCACACACACGACACAGGAGAGCGGAGAGAGCGCAATGGTTTTGGCTGGTTACTCCTGCAGGTACCGGTATGCTGCAGGGCCAATGCTGGCAGAGAACACAATTAGCCACCATGGCTCACATACGCACACGTACATAAGTTTGGTTTACGGGTGGGTGTAACACAGCTTCTTGCGTTCTGCCCAGGCGGCATTAGCCCTACGGAAGGTGTATACGTGTTGTACGGAAGATTGGTAAAAGAAAGGCAGATAGTTCGGGAGCACGCCACGCCCCTCATGGCCCTGCCAAACACATTCACAGGTGCTGTGGCCAGTGCAGCACAGCACACAATGGGGAGGAAACCCAAATCCCCAACCAACACCCCAACTTCCCACCACCACTACCACACACTACTGCACACGCACCTGCCCTGTGATGGGGGTGGGAGCGGCCGCTGCAGCTACTGTGCCCACTTCCTCCACAGCTGCTGTCACCGCCGTGGCTGTGTTTCGCGGCCACCCGGCCACCGAGGCTCCCGCCGTGGCTGTGCCCGTGGCTATGACTATGCCCGTGGCCGTGGCCATGACTGTGGCCATGTCCGTGGCCGTGGCTGTGCCCGTGGTCATGATCGTGGCTGTGTCCAGGTCCGTGGACGTGATGCTCACCCAGTACCGCCGCAATCACCAAGTTGAATGCAATGCCAGCACATGCCACCACAAACATGACTGAGGGCGGCCCGGGGAGAACAGAGGAGAGGGGGGTCGCACGTACGGAGCAGAGGGGGGTCAGCTGCCGACATCCGAAGCTTGCCCCCAACTGCTGGGTTCCAAAAAGCTGAAAGGGAGAGGGGGAATCATCATGTGCAAGGAAATCAGACACGAGCTGCCGGCATCCAAAATTTGAGACTAATGGAGTAATGAGGAGAGGCGGGAGGTGTGCAGAAGATAAAAGCCAAGGGAGACACGTGCGGGCGTTGAAAGCCGTGGTGAGGTGGAATGGGGAAGAGCGGCCTCAAGGTGTCAGGTTTCCATGCGGGAGGCCGCAAAGGGAGGGAAGGGAACGGTGACAGGGTGGTGGGGCGGTGGGGGCAATGGGATCAGGGCTATGGATAACATGCCGCAGATGGAGCGCTGCCCTCCTCCACGGCCGTTGCCCTCCTCCACTTGACGTGCCGTCGCCAGGTCATGGCCCCTAATCCAATTTTGACATTTCCATTCTATCTCTCCATCCTCAACAACCTTGCATGAGGACAGCAGCAGCACTCCTAAAAGTGGGTCGGAGAAGGCTGCAGATAGCGGCACCAGCAGCCTTAGCCTCCCCCACCGCCCTCTCTACAGGGACTTTCATGAGGTATACTTGCACCGAGCCCACACCCGCCCATTCCCTTAGGGCCTTCCCTTCCTTCTTACGTTTGCCATCCACAGGCTCCGGGTACAGCACTCTCATCACCGCCTCAAACACCAGAGCTCCGGTCACTGCCCAGATGGCTAACACGGAGGCCAGTGCCCCGAGGATTTCGATGCGGTGATATCCAAAGGAATACGACGCGTGGCTCTTCCGGGTGACGGCCCACGCTGCGAAGAGCGAGACAGCGAAACCCGCCACATCGGACAGCATGTGCGCTGCATCTGAAAGGATTGCAATGCTGATGGCACGGAAAGGGATGTAGGGTGTTATGGAGGGGGGAACGTCGTTCGAAAGGAAGTACCGACTAGCACAGAAGGAGGAAAGACATTTGTTGTGCAGTGGCCTCAAGCTGGAAGGTAGAAGGTTATAGTGCTGGGTTGGAAGTGCAGGACACGACATGGTGTTAGATACAGGCTCGAATTACGCTGCAACAAAGAGCACGACTGCTTACCTGTGCGCTAGGTATCCACCAACCACCTCCACAATCATGAATATGATGCATAGTACACAAGCGATGATTAGCTTGCGCTGGACCTGTGGTAGCAGAGCGCCAACAAGTTGCCTCCGATACCCGCGACCGGCAAGTAAGTGTCCATTCCCAACACACCTTTCGGTGCTCTGCATTGTCCTTGCTTGATCCGTCTGAAAGGAAACAGTTCGCTGTGTTCAGCACACAACCGGAGACCTTTCGGGAAAGCGTTGTCGTAGCCGGCACATGCTCAGCTTCAAGAAGAGGTGTCCTTTCGGACATCTTCTACGGGACGCGGCTACAAGAAGGTGAAACGTATCTAGTAACAGATGAGCACCCAGCCCATAGATGACTCCAAATTTACAAGGCAAAGACAAACTTTCAGACGCTACCAAACGAATGCAGCGATTTCTTCCGCGCTGCAAGCAATTACGAGTTCCAAAGCGATACTTCGCTATAGCATTATTTATGTGCAGGTCCGCCGTCTTGGCGCGTGCTACCGTACGGCATCTTATTATGTCGTCCCGTCCGCTGTCCGTCTGTCCGTCCGCTGATACCCTCCAAAATGTGATGCTCTACCTTGAAGCGGGGAGCTATTTCTTACAATTCAAAAGGCATATCTAATCCTCAAAATCCCGCCTGCATCAGCCACCCGTTAGTTGTTGCTCCGGGCGAGGGTTCGCAGCTTTGAGTTCGCCATGTGATTGCCCCTTTTCCTGCAAATCAAATCCAACTAGATCCTATTACCAAGAATCATCACTCCGGCACCTTGCATTCTTATGGTGCTCTTTTAGAGTCGCGACTGCTAACCGGACGATCAATAACCACACGGCGCACCACCAATAAGGCGCAACTAGCATGAAAATTACTTCGTTCGTGCCTTTTGTATATAAGATACCATGCAGATCCACCTACAAATCTGTTCCGGGCCTCCGGAGGAAAGCGTCGGCGGAACGGAGCAAGCGTTCTTCGCATGGAGCAGGGGAGACGCTGGCATCTCGCACAGAATAATTTTCTCATTTTGCTTATCTGCCACGAGCGAACTCATAACACAGCATACCCTCCTGGAGATGGATGCCCAGCTGGAATGTCTACGCGATTCCAAATACGTCGCGACGAGCTCTAGTCCAATTTTGGCACAGTGTTAAGTAAAGCCTCCACAAGCCACCTCCATCGCCAACTTACACACCTTAGACATCTCCGTAGGTTCCCCCAAAGTGGACATGGAGTGAATGGACGTCGAATGGGGGAAGGAGCTCGGCACCTCACCAGGTCAGCGGCAAGTACCGCCGCCTACCGCCGCTGCCACTACCCCCCCCATCCCTCTCTACCTCCCAAGGTGGCACCGCACGCAGCACCGACTCAATGCTCAGAGGCTCCTGCAGGCCCCCCTCCCCTTCCTCGTCCTCCTCCTCTCCCTCCTTTGCCACCTGTCCTAAACCATTTAGGTGCGATGAGGAGAGAGAAGGGGAGGAGGAGGAGGGCTGCGCGGCGCGGCCCTCCAGCGCCGCCATCAGTTGCCGACAAAGCAGCAAGTCGAACGGGTCCCGCGAGTGCACCTGACCCGGGCCCGGCAGGAGATGATCCGCAGGCGAGCTCCGGGCTGCTGCATTTGTGACCCGTGGGTCGGTCCCACTGCCCTGTGAAGGGGAACGGACTGCGGCAACTGCTGTCACTGATGGTGATGATGATGATGATGATGATGAGATGGCTGTGGGGTATGTAAGAGCTGGGTTGAGAGCGGTTGCTGTGGCTGCACTTCCGGGCTTGTCTGACACGGCGATGAGGTTGAGGTAGGTCATGAGCTCCAGTCTGGCTGCCGGCAGGTCCCCGCTGTGCAGCAGCAGCACCGCCAGGTCGCGTCTGAAGGAACACGTGCGCGCGTGTGCACACACACATACATACACACATACACTTCAGACAGCAGACAACAATTGTCGTGCAGGCGGGGGTGCTAACTTTCCGCTTCACACCACACCATCGCCCGCTCATCCAGCTTTACCCGTCTGCCTATCTGTCCATCTGTCTGTCGTCTGTTCAATTCGTCCTCTTGCCTGTTCCCCACTCCCCCTTTCCTTTTCAGTTTTTACGTTTGCTACTCTCTTGCTCTGGCAGCAGCTTCAATCGTGTGTGGTTCGTCTTTCCCCCTTTCCTTTCCTTGGCAGCAGCTTCACTCGTTCGTGGTTCGTCTTCCCCCCTTTCCCCGGATCGATAACTTCACCGCCGAGGACTTCAGCAGTTCAGGACTTTGGACTTCGGACGCCCTTCGGCTGTTTACTTCTTTTTTCTGAGTTTCTAAGCATATGAGTTTCTTCTCACCCGGGCCCCCCCCCCACACACATATGATTTCCTTTCCCCCCCTCTCCACCCGCCTCACACACCTCTCCTCCGGGTATTGCTCCCCCGCCAGCAGCACCAGCCTCTCACAAGCAGCCCGAGCCCGCCGCAAGTCCCCCGCGCCGGGACTCGTCCAGATGCCCCGCTCCAGCCGCCACGCCGCCACCTGAAGAGAGGAGAAGAAGCCCGGACAGATGACGAAATCATTCCCTAGTCAGCGCAGCCTCGAGAGGAGCCCGAGGTGCTTACCTCCACCTCCGAGGTGCTCATTCGCATGTGTGTGTATGTGTGTCTGTCGCCATGGGGGGCCCGCCATGGGGGGGGCCTTTGCGCTGATAGAGCTGTGCAGGATCAAGACGCCCACCAAGAGCGCAGCACCAAGATGATCCCCAGACAAACGTCGCCGTACATCACAACACCGCAAACACCCGCACGTGTTCCCTCCCCCCCCCCCCCGAGCACCCCCTTGCTGCCTCGCTCCCCAACATGCCATCATTCCCCTTGCCTTGCCGATGGCCGCCAGAGCCGCCGACATGTCATCTCCCATCGCCGCCTTGGCAGCCGACCTGGGCAGTACGACATGAGAGATAGTACGGCAAAAACATACACAAACGAACCCACATATATACCTTGTACACCTGGCGTCTTAGTTCATTTAGCCACAATCATCATTTTAACCGCCACGTACGGCATATTGTACGAGCCCCCAAAAGGGTTAGGACAGGGGCTACCCCAGGCCCAGATAACTCTCCCCTGTCCCCCACCCCCTACGGCTGCTGCTTGCTGCGCGCCTTTGCAATCCTTGGCAGTGACGTCCGATGAACTTGCAGCTCTTTCCGAACTGCATGTAGCCCCCAGTCAACCGATTAGTTAGCGAGTCAATCACGAAAATGAACCAGGCAGTTGGGCAGTTGGTTGTTAGTTCCTGGGGCTGGGGATACCCCCTACTCACCCAAAGAGGGTCGCTCGTCTGGACGCAATTTCCAACCGAGATCCCCAGATACCCCTTGCACATCTTCCCACGGTAGCAGCTTACGCTTTCCTTTCGCATATTTAATAATTTCCCCCCACATACACACACACACCCTCCGCTACCGCACCTCTCCCCCCAACCCCCCAACCACATTTCTCCTGAGTTTCTCGCACATGATTTCTCTCCCCCCCCCCGCAAACACATCACCCCATACCCCCCGTAGCACCTGAACCCGCCGTGGCTTCCCACCGCCCATGGGTACGACATATCCACTGCCGTATCCCAAGGGAAGGGCCAATAGCTGCGTTTCAGGTGGCGGAGTGTCTCCACAAGGACCTGTGCGTGTGTGTTTTGGGAGTGGGGGTGGGGGTGGGGGTGGGGGGAGAGGGGAGACAGGAGGAGGTTGCGGGTGAATGGAAGGCTGGCGGGTGCTCAGCAACACGGATTGAAAGAAGCACCGTTGTGATTTGCATCAAGTCACCCATCCTCACCCGCGGCCCCCCCCAACATCCCCCACTCGTTGGGGGGCAGATGCTGTAATCAAAACACCGGGCAGACGGACAGACGGACAGATGGACAGACAGACAGACGGACAGACAAACAGACGGACAGATGGACAGACAGACAGGCAGGTCTCACCAGTTTGTACTTTTGATCGCGTGCCCCGCTCGAGTCTCCCTGCGCGGGGGAAGTGCCCCCCTCCAAGCAAAACCACCATTATGTGGTGTATAACGTTCCCTCCATCCACCTGCCCAGTGGAGATGCTCCCCTTCTCCCCTCCTCTCCCTTTCCCCCCTTTCCCTCCCCTCCGCTCCCCCAAGCGCCCTGTCTCTGCTTCTTAAACTGCCGTACCTCGCTCGTGCATGTGTTGAGACTTGCCATGCCGCTGCTGCTACTATTACTGCTGCCCAGCATCAGCACCTCACGGGTGAGCCCAGGAAGTGGTACGGCACGAGGGAGCGTCATGTACGAGCTGGCGGCAGGAGGAGGGTTAGCGGCGGCGGTTGCGGCGGAGGTGAGAGTTTGGTAGAGTTTATATACACACACACACGCACTCTCTGAACTTCTTTCCCTCTCCCCACCCACCACTCACCCACCACGCACCGGGTATCTATGGCAGCGGCGCACGGCAGCACCCCCCTTGCCAGCAGCTGTGAGGTCACCTCCCCCAACAGCAAGCCCAGTACGGCAGGGTGACCCAGCCTCCGAATGAGGGTCTGCGAGGGCCGGGGGAGATCTCGGGGGTGATATGACGGGGCAAGAAGCGCACCGTAGAGCACCGGGCGATGTCATCCAAAGTAGCGACTGCCGTACGAGTCCCAAGCTAAGCAAGCATCAAAGGGGGAGGGTGGTGCCGGGTCTTGGATTGGCGGGTGGGGTACGGCACGATGTCTCGCTCCCACGACTTAACCGCTAACTAACCCAACCAACTCAATCAACATAAACCAACTCATCAAACACATTTAAGGAGATGCTTTTCCTAACATCCTCAACATTCTTTCACGTTCTTAACGTTACAACGTTCTTAACGTTACAACGTTCTTAACGTTACAACGTTCTTAACGTTACAACGTTCTTAACGTTACAACGTTCTTAACGTTCTTAACATTTTTAAAGCGTTCTTAACATTCTTAGATATAACGTTATAACGTTTTTACTTTCCTACTTCTTGCGTTGTTAACGTTCTTACCATTCAACGCTACTAACGTTCTTAAGGTCCTTTAACATTATTAACATAATTAACGTTGTAACGTTCTTAACGTTCTTTGCTAAAGCTAGGAAAGCCCTTTAACTCTTGTAACCCCTTCGGCGCCTCCTTCACACCCCCCCCCCGCTGCCTTCGCATTTGCAAGGCCCTCCCGTATTTATGGATTGAACGATTTCCCGACTCCCGACACCGCAACCCTCACTCGCCAACATTCGCCTTGGGACTTCCGGAATCCCGTCCTGCACGTGTTAAACTGATGTCCTTAGCTGTTTCGCAAAAACTGGTAAATGCTACACCTGCAATTCTCGCATCTATTCACCAAAACCAACCCCATTATAACCTCCAAAACCCACACACAGAATACCCCCTCCGGGTGACCGGGTGACCGCAGCCGGGTAGACTACTCCGGAGTGTCTCACTCCGTCACCTTCACCTTCACCTTCATCATCTCTTTAACCGCCCTAACCTTAGCTAACACTTCAGTGCCCAGTCGGATAGGAGAGAGTTAGACCGGGCGGAGGGCAGGAGAGGAGAGGAGAGGGGGGTAGAGAGGGCAAAGTACCCAAACATGTGGAGTGTCGGACACGAGTACGACAGTATCCGTGGGGACTTAGAGGGTGGTCAGTGTGGCTTCTTCCCATCATATGCGGAGGACCCCTCACCCAACCCTTGCCGACCCATGGGTCCAGCAGCCAGCGGCCCACCTCGTGCAGGTATCCCAGCCTTGCGTCCTCCCACACACCGGCATGATCCACCAGGGAGCTGGTGGCGGGAGTCGGGGGGAAGGAGTCGGGGGAGGGGGAAGGATTGTACGGTGATACAAAACACACAACGGAAATAACAGGATGCCCATTGCCGTCCAAAGCAAGGAAGCGGGAGGAGAGGGAGGCGGGTAGGGTAGGGGGTAGGGTAGGGGGGTAGGGTAGGGGGTAGGGTAGGGGGGTTTGAGGACCGCCGAACCGGCCCATGATGTGATAGGTCGCACACTGCACACTTACTTGGCTGGCAGGTTGGATCTGCCGTACTCGGGCATCCGGAACCCGACCTCCTCGAACAGGTACTGCTCTGCGACACGCAGTATGGCGGCTGCCTGTGGCCCCACGCCGCCATCAGCAGCCCCCTCGCGGCCTGCATGATCTGCCGCCGCCGCCGCCGCCCCCGCCCGCCTCAAGTCTTTCCTGCACAGCTGGTCTATCAGTCGCTCGATTCGCTCCCTCCACGCCCACACGGGGAACCGCACCGTCGAGTGGGAGGCTGCAGGGCACATACGCAGCAGCACTATGTACCGTACCAACCAAATCAGTCAACGAACGAACCAACTCATAACCGTAGCCCTCGCAGTACTGCAACAGTCCGCCTCTGGCTCGCCTTCTTCCGCTTGTCCACCACCACCACCGCTGCAGCAGCAGCAGAGCTGCGAGAGTCGGCAGAATCAGATAAAGGACACTCCCCGACAGCCCCCGACAGCCCCCGGCAGCCCCCGGCAGCCCCCGACAGCCCCCGACAGCCCCCGGCAGCCCCTGACAGCCCCCGACAGCCCCCGACAGCCCCCGACAGCCCCCGGCAGCCCCCGACAGCCCCCGACAGCCCCTGACAGCCCCCGACAGCCCCTGACAGCCCCTGACAGCCCCTGACAGCCCCTGACAGCCCCTGACAGCCCCCGACAGCCCCTGACAGCCCCCGACAGCCCCCGACAGGCACCGACAGCCCCCGACAGCCCCCGACAGCCCCCGACAGCCCCGAAACCCCTCTGGGCCCCCAAGCATACCGGTAAGGACCACCCCCATATCAATCCCTCTTAATCTGCTGCGGCATGGCGAGGGGGGGTTGCGGTGTTGGGACGGAGCCGAGGGGGTGGTGGTGGTGAGGGACCTCCCTCCGCAGCGCACCCCAGCACGCACCTATGGCATCGTCCTCGGCGGTGACGTGCAGCGCGGCCTCCACCAGCCGCATCCGGGGCTCCCCGCCCGCAATGCACTGTGCAAAGGCCTGTAGCAGTAGCAGTAAATGCGATGGCAGTAGCGGCAGTGGCGGTAGGGGTAGGTAGGTGGGTAGGTAGGTGGGTAGTAGGTGGTGGGAGTAGTGCCCCAGCCCCCCCCCCCGCCCGCTGTCGCCACATGCAGATGCAGATCGCGCGGAACAGGGCCCGTAGGCTGCGACGTACCTGCCGGGACTCGAACTGGAACACATCCGAATAGTCGGCCCTGGGGTTGGGGGGTCCCGAGCAGAGCAGGGCAGGCCGCACTACACTGGGGTAGGGGTAGGGGCTATTATGATGCAAAAGTGAAAGACAGACAGGTGCCGAGACACACACACACACACACTTTATCGGAAGATGTGGGTTCGAATCCCGCCGCTGGTCCCCCCCCGCCGGGTGAAGTAGACCGGGGTGTCGAATGCTGATGAGGTGAGACACCGAGTTCCTCCGGTGCGCTGGGCGGCTGGGGTGGGGGAGCTCTCACCATGAAGATCTACACACTGCCGTGGGCCAGGCTGTAGACCGGATGGTAGTTGGATAATGAAACCGGGCGGCGGCGGCAGGATTCGCAAGGATAGTGTGGTGTTTGGCACCGGTGTGAGTGCATGGGTAGATCGCGCAGCTGTAGAGCATGCGCTTTCGGTGGAACGGAGGTTGCTTGGCATCGGAGCTGGTGTGTATGTAGCTGGCTAGAGGATTCGAACAGGTGACGGCGCCTTGCGATGATGAGGGAGAACGGTCAGAGGACTCTGACCGATATAACGCCCCTCCAATGATGGAGTGCTTCGGCGGTCGTTCCAGTTGGGGTATACGGTTAGGTGCCCCTGGCCTGCGTCAGGCCCGGATCGATATGTAACATATATACACACATACACAAGCGCGCACACACACACACACGCAAACAAACATATACACAGACGTCCCAAGTACCAAATGCCAGATTAAAAAGCATCCACAGCTCCGAAACTTTGCCCAATAAGTTGACTACTGGCATAAACGCTCTGTTGGCGCAGTGGTTTGATGGGGGGAGGAGGGGGGTTGGCGGGGGGTTTTGCGGGCTGCAAGTGTTCGTCTGGAAATAGGCAATGGGCTTAAATAAAAACATCCCTGCGGGACGATAAATCACTACAAATATGCACCTGTCCCATTCGACACACCACACAAATACACGTTCCACATCGCCTCAACATGTGCAATGGAGGGGCCGGCGTTTGAACTTGTGGAGACGCCTAAAAAATTTCAAGGCCCGTACCGACACTGCCGTCCTTGCAAAAGGATCTGCGATTGCCGTACCGTCGGTAACGCTCGTCCACGTCCTCCGGGCGCGGCGGCTGTTCAAGTCTGACCGCAGCTCCGGAAGCCTGTGCACCCGTCGCGCCGCTGCTGCCTCGATCGCTGCTATCACTGCCGTCGTTAGCTAATGTACGGGCGCTACCACTTGAAGCCAGCTGTAGCAGCTCGGGATGTCTGCCGCGGCGGCTGGATGGGGCACCGTCAGTAGATTCGCCAATGGCGCGCGGAGCCGTGGTGAGGTGTCCACGGCTTGCGCGCTGACGTGGGGGTGGGGGGTTGGCGGGGCGCTGCCAGTAAGGGCTGGGCCAGGGCGTGGCTCCAGTTGGCCTCAGCATGGCTGCGCGGCCGGAATCTAAGTTCATCTCCGCGTATACCAACACGGGATTAAGGATACCTGTTACGACAGGCGCCAAGCAAGCAAGCAGCAATGCCAGATTTTTAAGTTTTAATAAACTGGCTTCGGGCTAATTGCAATTGAATTAAAAGTGCAGTCGTTACTGCATACTGTATAAAGTGCGAAAAGGCTGCCTTCTTATGGGAGCTTCGCATGTTGCAAGTACCGCCAGACTTTAACCGTCATCAGCCAATATCACTCGCCAAGAAGGCTTGTACCTTTCAGCACAAACCGTCTATGCGTTTTTATTTCGTGATATTTTTGGGGTACCGCGCATTTCTGTCGTTGCATGTGTAGCGTGGACTCACGTACAATGAAACTGTGTTTAATGGACTTGTTCGTTGATCAACCACCCAAATTAGAAGTAGGCGTAATCATAGGTAACCTTTCACGGCATGTTATTACCGCACGTGCACATGACATGTGTAGTAACGAGTGCCGTTTCCTTTAGCTCGTCCCAGAGCTGGCTCGTCCCTGCAAAAAGACGTACACAACCATCCATGTTGCTAGCCACCGGAGAATCCGCATGGTTCCTGCAGCTAACGTGATGTGTTTTATGCGCGCGATCAACGCGTCAGCGCGCTGCACTTACCTAGCATGCGCACATTTTCTCGTTCTCCATTGCGCCAGTTTTGCCAGCCATGCATACCAAGCTGTCGCTGCTGTCCAAAACTATAGGTCGTTAGCTTAGGAAAATGTTGAAAGTTTTATCGTTATGTATTGGAGCCAAGCAGCTTGCAGCTCCAAAGATACCGGCGGCCCAGCCCGTGGTCGAGGCTGCTGCTGTGGATGACAGGCGGATTTCCTTCGGCTCCGTTGAGCAACAATGGCAGGCATGGATTATCCCGGAATCGTTCCACGCGTTGACCCAGGAACCGTGTTCGCATAATCGTATTCGTTTCGCCCGCCTGTAGACTCTGTACGATGGACTCCACGCAGTGCGAGGCACCTGGCATGAGCGTTTAGGCCAGGTTGTGGGACTTGCGGCTGTGTGCTGCGGTGCGGCCTTCGTGAGGTAGGTAAGGTTAGACATGAACGCAGCACGATAGCTAAACGTATGTACCTATTCCCTGCAAGGCCCTGCTGCTTCAAACCCCAAGGAAACAATAACCCCCCTGCCAGCATTACCTTCTCTCGCCGGCATCGCGCCTTATTGCCTCGACTACATGGCTGCTGCCCCGCGCTGTTGTGCAACTTCGTGCACTGCGTTCGACGCGCGCTTCCTCGCCCCAGTCCCACAAGTAGCACCCCAGTCCGACCCCACCCCTGACCCGTTGTTTTTTTCCGAGCATGCTTCCCAGCTCACCCTCCCACCCACCACACCCTCCCACCCCTCAGCGTGCACCTCTACTGCCCGTACCAATCGTGTTTCGTGGTCATGTCTTCGAGGGGGCCCCTGGCGGAGGTGCTTCAGACCGGGGACATCCACCTCGCGGACACCTCAGCGGGGCCCGCCAGTCTGCAGACCAGTCGCCTAGCCCGCCTGGGCAGCGGGGGAGGTGTGGCGGGACATGGCGGCTTCTTCGGAGCCTCCAGCGCCTCCTACGCCTCGTGCCTCAGCTCTCCAGGGGAGCCGACCAGTTTGCAGCTGCTGCTGAGGGGCAAGGTGAGGGTAATCGGGAAATCTCGTCGCTGAAAACCCCACATGCGGATTCGCACATGCGGGTGTTGGGGGAGGTCTATGGGTTTCATTCACTAGAGGGGTCCTTGTTTTGACTTCCTTTGGCAGTTTATCCGAGTTGAATCAGGATAAACTTCCAATGTACATTGAACAGGTATGCCCCACTTTCCCTCGGGAGTAATAGATAGATAGATCTAGATAGACAGATGGATAGATGTAGATAGGTAGGTAGATAGATAGATAGGTAGGTAGATGGATAGGTAGGTAGATGGATATAGATGGATGGATAGATAGGTAGGGGAAGGCTCGTTGTCCATGTATTGGTGCACTTACGGTGCACTCAGGGTCGTGGAAAAGGGCTATCTCACAGGGGGGCCACAGAGGGGCCTCTGTTGGAAGGGGAAAAGGCAGTGTACGGGCAGTGTACGACTGTCGACACGCCCAAAGCTGAGCGGAGAAGCTGGAGCTGGAGGAGTCCAAAGCACTGACTCAACTGCGTTAGTTCCTTGACGACATCTTTGCGCGTTTCGTGTACCGGTTGGAGAGAGGGGGAGGGACCCCTCGCAGGTTTTGAGCGTTTGGGGTTGAAGCGGGTGCACCAAGAGGACCGAGTAGAAGCTGCTCCATGGACTTCCCGCCCACATCGCCCAACTCCCTTCCCATCCCTCCCTCAAGTCCTGCTTCTTGTACACTGTTCCTTGGCAGCAGCTTCACTCGTTCGTGGTTCGTCTTTCCCATCCCTCCCTCTCTGCGCGCCAGGTCACGATTTGCCGCTCGCCTCCAGCGGCCGCTGTGCGAGTCACCGGCAACGGCAGCAGCGCCGCCGCCGCCGCCGCAGAAGTGCAGCTTCCGCCGGATTGGCGGCAGCTGTACCATAACGCGCAGCTCAGCGACTTCACTGCGGTGCCGATCCTGGATGGCAATGGGGCGTTGGTCGCGGCGGTGACGGTGGCTGGGCCCGCATCGGCGGCTAGTGCGGTGGGCGCGGCCGCCGACGGCGGTGGCGGCGCCGGCGCGGGAACGCCCCGTCTGGCGGATCAGGTCCATCAGTTTGAGCGCTTTGCCCGGGTCCTCGGACTCGCCTTCTTCTCTGACCCTAAGCAGCTGTCGTCGTGTATGCTGGTGAGAGTCGGCGGGGATGAGGGCGGCCGGTTGCTCGCTGGGGTTCAGTCGGCGGATTGTGAGGATGGGGGAAGAGGGGGGAGGGATGGCTACGTCTGCCTTGGCGGCACAGGGGGGGAAATCGCATGCGTTGATGCGAGAAGAATAATAAGAAGGAAAAGAAGAAAGGATTGCTGTAGAAAAAAGGGAAGGTTGGAAAAATAAAAGAAGAAAGGAATGCTGTAGAAAAAGGCTGGAGGGGATCCACCTCTTGCAGACGTACTTCCAAAGCACCAGAACTGCTCTGAGGCTCGCCAAAGGTAGATGTGTGCGTGTGTGTGCGCGCCCCCCATCCCCAGCCCTGACAAATCGTTGGGGATAGGGGCGGGTGAGGGGGGTGGGGTAGGTAGGGCGTTAGAATGAGGGTGGGCGGGAGCTGGGAGCAGAGCTCATGGGGCTGGTCCGCAGAAGCCGATGATACCTCGGGTAGTCCTGATCAGCGAATGTCAGGCAGGGCCAGAGGCAGCGCCACCGCGTAGGCCAAGTCGTCACGTCTTTACAGGATGACAACTCCCCGCCAGCCGTTGAAACTGGCTGCCGAAGATAGGACTCCGCTTGGCGGCCTCTCGTTGACGTTGGAGGAGGGGGCCGGGGGGTACGAATTGGGCCACACAGGCGAGTCCGAGCGCATGTGTAATCGACCCTTGAACCAGCTGACAACGTGGGGGGGCCGCTGGTCCTGTAGCCCGGGCGATGCTGGGGTACTGTGTTATATCACGGCTTTTCGGAAAAGAACCGATCGGTGGATCTCGGGATACCGTGATGAGCCCTCCAGGATACTACAGTTAGTCCTTCAAGGTACAGGACCTTGAGTGCTCTTTCCCCCCCCTCTCTCTCTCTCTCTCTCTCGCGCGCGCGCGCGTGTGTTTCCACGTTTGAAGCACCTCTGTGGGTGAGCGCGGCGAAAGTGGTTGGCGGAGGAGGTCGTGTGTGGGGTGGTTGAACAGCGGGGCGAGTGGAGTCACTTCTTAGCTGCGGGAGGGCGATATCGGGGCCGTCGGGGCGGCTGGTCTTGCGTTGTGTTTGCATTGGCTGTGGAAACAGATGAACTGCTTTGGGGTTTAGGCAGGACCAAGGCCGGAAGTCGGGGAGGTTGGTCTCCCAGACTGTTCGGAAGGTGTCGTCGGTTGGGGTGGAGCTTGACTCCTCCATGCCCAAGTGACCGGGGACAGTGGAGGGGAGGGCTTGAGTGCGCGTGTCGAGAGGTGCACGTGTGTTTGTGCCGCGGCAACTGCCTGCATCCACTGATGCCCAGTATCCGCACTTTTGTGAGTATGGCTATTCCCATAACCCACCCCGCCTTGAACACCCCCCCCGGCCAATATCACCCCCAGGCTGCGTCCACATTGGCTGCCGTACAGCGGGCGGAAACCCTGCAGGTGGGACAGGGAAAGCGTGTGTGTTTTGAGGGGGGGGAGAGAGGAGGAGAGTACGGGAGATGGCGCCGGGGACTGTAAAGGGGTAAAGGGATTGGGACGTTTGGGAGGCAGCGATGGTCGCATGGGAAAGCGGGCGGCATGCAGTGGTGTGCACCACCTTCCCGTCCAACATGTTTATTACACGGGCTGCTGCGTACGACATCCCGGATCGGAAAAACACGGCACGTTACCTACGAATATGACGACCCCTTGGTTAGTAGCAGCTCCCCGCCTGGGCCCCCCTCTCCCCCCTCTTGTCTTTCGGACTTTGTACGCCGCCAGCATATGATATCCGTCTTTCCCCCTCTCCCGGCTGTGGCCGGGGGGTCAGCAGTCCCCTGCCAGCCGTCCTTTCCAAAAAGGACGGCTACGCATCGAACACATCCCTTCCCCGGGCGTTATGAAAAAACGTTTCCGCAGCTAAACAACTGCATCCAACCAACTAACCAACCAACCGAATTCTCATCCCCAGGCACTCGTGGAAGCCTCACACGAGGGTTTCGGAGCTCTCTTGGAGCGCCACTTCCGGCTGGAGGGCGCCCGCTGCGTGCTGGCGCTGTCGGACTCCATGGAAGCCCGAGTGGCGTATTTTGGGCCGCCGCCGCCGCCGGCGGGGGTGGGAGTGGTGGGGGGTGCGGGAGGGCAGGGTGGCCCCGCGGTCGCGGCCGTGTCGGCCGCCGGGACCGCGGGGGTGATCTCCCCGTCTGCGGTGATTGGCGGCGGCGGCGGCGGCGGCGGCGGCGTCATCGTGGCTGGGGGTTCTGCTGTCGCTGTGGGCGCTGCCTTGCTGATGTCACGGAGTCCGGCGTCTTCGCAACAGGGACCTGGGGTATCTGGAGCGGTAAGAGTGGGAGGGAAAGAGATAGTGCGTGTGTGTATGTATGTATGTAATATATGTATGTATGTATGTTGTTACAGGGTGGTATAGCTTCACCAGCGGCCCCCTGTCCCTTGGAGGCAGTTCCCTGCTCTCCCCTGCGAGAGGGGCACCCTATTCCATTCACCCCATCCGACTTCAGAGTGTAGTCGTTGGGTTCAGCAACTCACCACCAGCATCCAACCAAATCTAGCGGATCAACGGTGCATCAACTTAGTTCCTGGTCAGCTCGCAAGTGATGTATGTATGTATATATGTATGTATTTATGTATGTATGATATGTGAAACAGGGGGTTATATCTTCACCCGTGGCAGCTACCCTGCGAAACCTTGCCTTCCCCGGTATTTCGGAGCATCCTGTCACCCTAGTCAATTTCTCAGTGGATCGCTCAGGTTCCGCACCCACCACCAGCATCCAACGGAATCTGCCGGGTCGACAGCGGCCCAACTCCATTCCTGGTCGACTCGCAGGTTAACTTTATCCCAGGTCACCACCGTCCATCAACTAGGGGCGCAATACCTCCCACCATCGGAAGGATTTTCGACCCTGACAGGTCTCGATCCCGGGATCTCCCGGGGGCAATGAACGCGCGTTACCAGTAGTGCCAAACCCCGACTGTATGTATGCCAACTTTTCCCCACCCCGCCTTAACTTCCCTCCCCCTTACCCCCTTGCCCCGCTTTCTCCCGTTTTGCTCAGTTCGTTCAGTCTATGTCTGTCGGCACGTCTGCGCCGCTCCAGGGGGTGCTAGGTCCCCTCATGGACACGCTGTTGCTGGACGTGGTGTCCAGGGAAGGGCCGGGTAACGGCCGGGTGGTCGCCAACTGCCGGGCGTACCTGCAGCAGGAGGACAAGCCGGGGAGGGATGTGCAGGTACGGGGAAAGGGTGGGAGGGTTTGCCGTACTTGCCGTACAAGGTCGAGAAAAAACCAGCAGTGCCCGACCATCTTAAATTGGTGTTGTCCACCCCTCAACTCCAGTTCCCCGTGGTTTCATTCCGGGGTAGTACGGCCGGCTGATCATTATGCCGTACTGTCGTACTTGACAGGTCTGCTTTCAGCTGTGCCGCATGCCGCCGGCCTGTTTGGCGCTGGCGGTGGTGGGGGCCGCCGAGTCCACACTAGCTCCCGAGATTGCGTTGTACGTGTGTACGGCACAGCAGCAGGTCCCCGCTGGCTTGTTGGAAGAGGTTCGTGCGGAAGCTCAATGTATGCTGCAGGTGCGCGGAGTACTGCAGTGGAGGGGAAGGGGGGTTGAAGGGGGGGAATTCCGGGGTGCATGTGTATGTGTGTGTGGACCGGGGGTTGGGTGATAGGGGTTGAGGTGTTACAAGTAGCAGAAAGCGCTGGACCCCCTGGAGAGAACCCCTCGCTATATATGTATATATAATATATATGTATATCAACATTTTTTTATTATGTCTAGGTGTTCAGTATAATATTTGGTTTATTGTTTTTGTAGTATCTTAATAATCCAGAACAGGAGTAAATTTTGGCAGAGCCTAGGAATGTAGCTAAGCCCCCTTGCGAACATATATGCTAAGACTATGTTTAAGCTACTTATTAAACATAGTCTTAGCATATGTTTAAGCTACTTATTAAACTTGTAGCTTATATATATATGTATACATATATATGTATATATATATGTATATATATATATATTGTCCAATATTGTTATTGTATACTGTAATTTTAGTTTACTAAAATTACAGTATACAATAACAATATAGAGATTGTCTAGTGCTCCAGTATTGTTTATGTGGACTATATTATAGTCCACATAAACAATACAGAGATTGTCTAGTGTAATTTTAGTTTACTAAAATTACACTAGACAATACAGTATTGTTTATGTGTAATTTTAGTAAACTAAAATTACACATAAACAATACAGAGATTGTCTAATATTGTAAATAGGGTCTAGTTTACTAGACCCTATTTACAATATTAGACTGTAAATAGGGTCTAGTTTACTAGACCCTATTTACAATATTAGACAATTTTTATGTGGACTATCTTATAGTCCACATATATTGTAAATAGGGTCTAGTAAACTAGACCCTATTTACAATATTGGACAATACAGTATTAACAATATATATATATATGTATATATATATATATCGCCACCGGCTCCCCTTCCCTTCCCTTCCCTTCCCGGCACCACCTCAACCCCCGACCCATATATATGCTCCGGTCACTTTCCAGAAGGGAGGTCGGGGGTTGAGGTGGTGCCGGGAAGGGAAGGGGAGCTGGTGGCGAGAGAGGGGGGGAAAGGGAGGGATGTGAACCAAGACTGTTCAACCTCTTTGCTGTACTCTTACCCCACCCCCCCAACCCGGCCCCCATCACCACTTTGGGTATCGACAATGAACTCCTCGTTCTTTGCATGCTGTGTATTCCCGTTCCATTCCTCCCTAACCCCTAACCCCTAACCAGCAGCTTCACTCGTTCGTGGTTCGTCTTTCCCCCCTTCCCCCTTTCAGCTGCTCATGCCACACATACACAGACAGCTGTTGGGGCCCCTGGCGGCTGAGTGGTCGGGGATGAGGCTGCAGGCAGCAGCGGGCTGCGCCATGGCGGCAGGAGGGGGAGGAGCCAGCGGCGGTGGCGGCGGCGGCGGTGTCGTACTTGAGAGCGGCAGCGCCTCCGTCAACTCGGTGCTGACAGGGCTCAGCGGCGGCGTCAGTCTGGGCGGCCTGTGTCGTACAGTTAGTTTTTCGGTTGATGACCTGGTCAGCCAGTCGCCGGCGCACCTGAAGACGGTGGTGGCAGGGATACAGTCAACCATCACGGCGGCGCAGGTACGACAGGAGGACGACGTGGCGATGGCGACGGCGGCGCTCACGAATGACGCAATTTGTCAGATATACTTTAATTAAAGTCAGTAGTATGTATGTTGTTACAGGGTGGTATAGCTTCACCAGCGGCCCCCTGTCCCTTGGAGGCAGTTCCCTGCTCTCCCCTGCGAGAGCGCCACCCTAATCCATTCACCCCATCCACTTCAGAATGTATTCGTTGGGTTCAGCAACTCACCACAAGCATCCAACCAAATCTAGCGGATCAACGGCGCCTCAACTTAGTTCCTGGTCAGCTCGCAAGTTGATATAATCACGGTCTACAGCGTCCACAAGATGGGGGGCCATCTCCAAATTCAACACCCCTCAAACACCCGAGAGGTCGGCAGGCGGATTTGAACCCGGACACTCCGGGAGCAGAAGTCAGGCCTTATCCTGTGCCAGCCGCCTGCCTTTCCTCCCCCCCACCTTCAATCGTGTGTGGTTCGTCTTTCCCCCCCCCACTTCCCTCGTCCATGGCTCGTCTTACCCCCCTCTCCCTCGGCAAAGTCCCAGGGGCAATTCCTGCGTTGGATGCCGTCGTCAGCAGTTTGTTTCCTTGACTCATGCCTCGCTCTCCCCTCTCTCCCCCCCCCCCCGCCAACAGTATCTGCTTCATTCGCCAGTGGTTCATCTTACCTCCCCCCCAAACA